ATTTTCTTTGCGGGTGGATCGTCCCCAAATTCCTGCTTAATTCTTACTGGTTTCGGTCCCTGCGCCTTTCCAGCAACGCACTCTTGGTCGATTTTGCCGTCGTATTTCTCCACCTCTCCTCCGTATCCGCTGTCTGTGTCCGTGTCGTTTTCGTTTAATTCTCCGTTATGCGCTCGCTGAATGACCGGAACACAGTTCGCCTGGGCCTCCAGCTTTTGACAGCTGTGCTCCCTCGCTATGTCGGCGCCTTTGCTGCCCGCTAGCTGGTGCGATGCGAGCGGAGAGCCGGGCAGAAACTGCGCGGAAACTTTGTGCAAATGGTTGACGAGTTGCGCGCTCCGCTGCTCCCTCGCAGTCCAGCTCTCGACGCGGCTTAGGTACTGCAGGACTTCCCGGGCACACATCTGAAAACCCGAGTGGAAGGCATCGAAATCATTCTGCACGGAGGACTTCATCGATCTGTCTCCTGTGATGGATGCATTAAAACAAAAAACAGCATTACACGGTTCAGTCTTGGACAACCTTCCAGCAACACAATAGACAAATATTTGATCATTCATACAGCCTGTAGCCTAGAAATGTCGATCACATCGTCAGCTGAACTGAAGTCGCTAACTCTAGAAAGTGGTTTTACGCCACTCACCGCTCTGCAATGCAATGATCTTCTGATGCTGCTGCTCAGTGACAGCCGTTAACGCGTTTAAGTGTTTTAAAGTTAACTCCAGAACAACAGCCTTTTCCAAATGCCCAAGAGTCTATAAATGAAAGAGAAAAAAAATCACTAAACAAATACTGAATGTTTCAAATGTCAATACGTTAATTTGCAAAAATGAGGCTGTAACTTATTTACTTTATTACATCGTTTCATAGGGCCGGAATACACGCAACCATCACGAAAGGAACTTGCCGTCAATTTCAAATGTTCCGGCAGCAGATCTTTAAGCTGTCCGATACATTCGTTAATCCTGTCTCGCCGTTTTTTCTCTATCAGCCTGTGTGGCAACTTGTAGGCTTCCTGTGGATACAAAGAAAACGCAAAATAACACCGGCGAGGGGATCTAATACACCGAGCGTTTTCCAGAATCAACCGTAAAAAGAAGCGTGTAAGCACAACCATGACCAATCATTCACAAGTGTGGGGGGCAAAAAAATCATTTAAAAATGACGCTTGCCTTGTTTTCTTCTCTTTTCATTCCTCTTTTCGACTTGCACATGTAGATGGAGGAGTAATCGACCCTGTTTTTGTTTTGTAGAGAAGTCCACTCGTGAGATCATTGCACGTTTGGAAAAACGACTCGGTGCCGTTAATAAGAAACGATCAGGCTTACCCGAGGAAATCCGCATGCTCCAGCAACTGGCTGTCCTGGAGACGTGCTATTCTCTCATCCATAACTTTCTGCCGGGTACGCCTTAATTCCGAGAGCAGCGACGGATAGAGGGGACCCGAGCAGAAGATGTTCATCGAGCAGTGATGCACTTTCAAATGATAACCAGTTTCCTCTACCTACCACTTTGCAACCAGTTTATGTGTAACCAGAGCGCACGCGCCGACGCCAAAGCGCTGCTCCCAACTCACGTGTAGATTGCACCAACTCGAGAATATGCAATTAGAGACTAATTACATTCACCGGACGCATACATTTTTTTCCAGAATATTCTCCGGCATGTGAGTTTCAGCGTCATCGTAAATTCCCGTTAATTGTCGCTGAAGCGATCGTGAACCTAATTTTAAGAGAAAAAAAGTTTCTGTCGAAATGATACGGCGATCGCACTCATCCCCTGCAATGGCCACATGGACACAAATGTGCTTTTCCCCAGCGCAGGAGGGTCGTTTTTGATATGCGGCTCCTTCTTTCTCCGTCGCGGGGAGAGTAACTCCTCCTTAACCCTTGCCCCGCTGCTCCGCCTGTCCTTGCGGACTGACCGCAACCACAGCGGCAATAAGCGCCTGCAGGGCGGCTGTAATGCTTAAACCTGTGTTTATAAATGCTGGGAGAGTTTCATTTTCCTGTGTCACGCAGGAATTACACTGATAGGTTTTTTTTTTTTTTTTACGATTTTATCATAAAAACAGTATGAAAACGTTAAGGCAGGGGGAAATCAAGTTGGGGAGGAGATTTAAGTGGAATGGCAGCAATCGCTTATGAGAATTTATTTAAATCACTGTCAGATGAGGAAGGGCAAGTGAAGCTGTGTACATTGGTTAATATAACTTGCGCCGGTGGAATGAACTGATATAATCAAAACATCTTCGATGTTGTGGCTCTTTTAGCATCTGAATTATTCTAGCTCAGAGGTATAACATGCTGATTATAATGATAACGCTGAATTTAATGAGTGGCTGTTACAGTGGTCTGTTTATATGGGGCCATCTGATAAGCATTTCGGCCGCTAATAGTTAGCTTTTTGAATTCTTTCTTTGGTAAACAGTAGGTGTGACCGTAACGCCCCGGGAGGGGTTGGCGTGGACTCAAAGTGACCAAATAAAGGGGCAGATTCACATAGCCCCAGACAGGGAGCACCCGCTAATTTGCTTGTACAATACATTTTACCTGTACTAGTCACTTTTCTGCGGCCTAAAACATGTTGATCCCATGATCAGTACTTTAAGGAAACTCGGACGGAACTTTAAAAAAAATAAAAAATAACATGCACTTAAACACTTCGTTCAGTGTTGTTTTTTCCCACTCCGACAATCAATTAAAAACCATATTTCATATTCATTGGGGATTAGGCTACATAATGTCAAGTTTTTCAGTGCTCTGCCTATTATAATGATTAGGCTATCTACTGCTTAAAAATGATTGGACATGAAGAAAAAAGTCGAAATGGCGGAAATCTTACCAGATCGCTGGTTGCCCGTACTATGCATTCAGAAACCAGTTATTTATTTAATATGCATACTTTACCGAAACCAAGTAGGGTCCATTCAGAGACATTTTAAAAAGCGCATTCAGACTACTCACTGTGTGAATGGTTTTGTTCATATGTGATTTAACACGTGTCCAGTGCTAGGCTGCTGGTCCTTAACACAATGAAAACTGAATAAAACGATGAAACTTCACACAACTGCATAATGAACCAAGAGATAGTCAAGGTGATTCAAATAAGCTAAATCCAGATGCGACTACGCGCAGCTTTTCCGCATGAACTAATACAGAAAGTCCACCACTCAGTGAGTGATAATCCGCTTTAAAACTGTCATATCCTATGGGCTTCCAATATGATTTGATGTAATTCTTATATCATTGTATACAAATAAAAATATATAATACTACTGCTCTGCAGGGATGCAAATCTGTTGTTTACATGCTCATTAAATTGCAAAAATCCATTAATCCAATCCACAGACATTGTTTTCATGCCATCCCTGGGCTTAAAGGCCAAATCCAATCCTTAAGCATGTTAAGGTCGTTGTTTAAATGAAGCGCCTTTGATCATTTATCACAACGTGAAACAATTAAATTGTATTTAAAGTAGGTTACAGTTCGTTGTATGAGTAACTAAGAGTAGGCCCAGCGTTTGTGTTGCAGCTGTTCTGAGTTTCTGTTTTAAATTTGTAATTGTAGACTGGAGAATAAATTTTTATGTCCATTGCGATGATGCAATTACATACGGTGTAGTATAGCAGTGTTCCTGTATGCAACTCAGCAATATTTTTAGTTTCACTCATTTCTCAGTTTATGGAATGTTTGTTTTATTTCAAACTCCAGCCTGGCTCTTCCCTGCTTCTCATTGATGAAGAGCTTCTTCCTTGCTTAATGGGGTCTTTAAGAGCTTCTAGGAGTCCTAGCAGTCCTAACTGTCTTAGAAGTGCACTTCCCACCACGTAATGTTTCCCGTTCTTTTTGAAGGTCACTTGAGGTCGTCCTCTGATTTATGAGGCACTGCCAGATAAGTTGACAGTCATCTCTGGCATTAGAAAGTCGCTTCAGCCCTCTGCCAGGCTGGTTTTTGGTCATTCCCAGTGTCTCCTGCTTTACCTTTTTCTATACTGCTGTCTTAGGAACTCTGAGCCTGGAAACAGCCTGCCTCGCAGTATAGCCTTCTGCCAGACAAACCAGGATTAAGCCAGGATTTAACAATGGATTTAACAATTGTAAAAAAATATGGAGTGGTCTCTTATTTTTTTTCCTAAAGCTGTATTCTAAATTATCTTATGTAATAACAGATAAAAACAGATTTGGTACTTTTTACCAGTGTAGTATTTTTTGTTCTTTAATGATACACTTTCACACTCATGCACTGGCGTAGTTTGACCAAAAGAAATGCATTCAATGGCTTTTAAGTTTAGAAGGTGTTAAATTTTATCTTTGAAGGTTGAATGCTTCTAACGGAGTTTGAGACATTGCGGATGAATCAGATGGGCATCCGTAGTACCGATATGCTATTTCCTAAGTATTTCCTAGTGATAAAGTGAAATGTATTTTTGAATCAGCCCCCCAAAATCTACTGCTGGTAACTGCTCATCAAAATTGATCATTGAATTCCACACAAGACTGTAGAAAGTATGGGGTTATATAAAAATATATAAAACATACATTTTTTTTAATGTGGATGTGTTTATGTGTCGATTAAATACACAGTCGCACAAATGTTAGTAAAAATGTCTTACATGGATCATATGTTTAGATAAAGACTCTGTCCTCAATACTTTGCTACCCTGGTGAAGCATTTGTGGTGTATTTATAACCCCAATGATTAGCATTTTAATGCTCACATGACAATGGGTCACATTAATATTTAATTAGAATCATGTGACTTTCTCCGGAGTTAAAACAAGCCTTGTAGTGTGTAGTGACTTTGCAGCCCACAGCTGCTCGCAGGTTTGATTGGCAGCTTGTTGTCCACGTGCCAGTCTCATTCCAGTAGGCTCCCTCCAATAGCCACCACTCTTCTCCCGTATGAGTGCTGGATAACTCCGATTCCTTTGTAGAAACTGCTTCTTATCACACTACGGTTGTGTGTCAGAGTCCCCCTTTGCATCCCCCCACCCCACTCTCCCCTGCCCTCTCTATATGTGGCGCAGAAGCAGCTCAAGGAATCTGCTCCAAATGTTTTCCATATTAGTTCAGACCGTCTGATCCCAAATAGCAGCGGAGTCTGACTCCGGCTGCAGAGATCCTCCGGGGGGGCCGGGCCATCAGGAGGGACAGCGAGAAACGGAGGGAAGCGGGAGCCCGGGGTAGAGCGCGCGGAAGCAAGATGGGGATGGAGGGGTCTGCCAGCGACGAGAGCGACGGCGAGAAGGACGGCCGCACATGCTTGGGCTGTCGTTTCCCCCTGATCATCGCCACACTGCAGCTGGTTTTGAGTGTCACTATTATGACGGTGGCTTTCGTCATGGTGTTCATCAGCCCCTCTCTGATGGCCAGGGAGACGCCCTACTGGGCCGGGATCATCGTAAGCACCCTCCGCCGTCCGTACACCGCTACACACCCACAAGGTCAGATGGACCAGCGCACACAACAAAAAAGACCACATTACATGAGCAAGAATACAGAGCCATATGTAACCGTTAAAGCCAGGGTTATTTTATGCATTGGCAGTATTTATGGGCAGAATTTCCTTGTTGAGTGAAAAGGTTAAGGTTTGGGTGGACTTCACCCGCACCGCATGTCAAATTAAGAGTCCCACCATCAGCCTGTGTGATAAGCAAAATCCAGCATTCGTTTTATGTGCTTCATTGTTAAACATTTATAACTGCTTGTACAGTACAGAAAACTTCAAATACAAAACTAAGAGTGTAAGAGTTAATATACACCTCTATAACTCAGAATACATATCAGCAACTAATGTTTTTTTTTTTTTTTAAATGAGTACATCACACTAACTAAGTCAGAGGTTATCAGACTGAGTGCAGCCCATTATGCTTACGGATGTTTCTCAGTCGTAAACCTAGAAGTTGTTGTTGCCTATGAGGCCCCAAAAATAGAGTTCGACGTTTGACTGCGTCGAAACATGCAGATTGTTTGCCCTGAGCCATCGTTTATTTTGGTATCACTACCTTGTGGTGGAGAGAGACATGGTGCAAGTATAAACATTACAAAAGGCTATTAGAAATCCTAAAATGTTAAAATTGGGTGTTTTAAAGCAGTACTATGGAACACCCTAAACTGTATGTGACTGCACCCCCTTCCTGTACTACAAAAATAAACTGTGATAGTATGTTGATTATTGAATTACTACTGGAATGACCACACATGCATAAATAAAATATCATAAGTCACTTAAGTTATCAAATAAGTCACCAGCAGAGAAATCAGATGCAAAAATATGGTGAAAAAGAAAGGTTTTATGTTATTGGTTCCTTTTAATGTCCCAACTCTGTATCCACCAACCCAACAAAAACATACCCTTCTGATAAACTTAGACATTCATCCACTGTTTATCTTGCCCAATCCTAAGTTTACTGTTCAGGTTTATAATGTTTGGGACTAAACATTATAAACGTGTTTGTGTGTTCAGACATGATCTATATGTGGTGGTCAAGGTTTACCTAGTGGATGGCTACCTGTTTAGGATGCTTGTTCTGTTCAAAGTTATGCATGACTGCCTTCTGGAAAATGACCCGCGGCTTTTAGGAAACTTTATCAAGAGAAAAAAAAACCCCAAACCATTAACACCTATTGTTGCATGCAAACCATGGGCAACAGCCGCAGCCCCGACATTTCGAAAATAGATTGAGGTGTTGCAGGAGAGGCACTGTAGACTGCCAGTCTAGGGGTGGGGGGGGTTATGGGAGCACGGAGGCCTTGCCACCTCAGCCCAGTGAGCCAGCTTAGCCATGTGCACTGGTCTCCCCATCGTGATCTTGGTAGACAAACCACGGCCTAGCAGCTAACGTCCTGATAAACCGGACAAATAAAGGCCCAAAGATTAGATCAGCCCTCACTGTCATTTTACAGAGAAAACATTTTTACACTACTGCAGCGACGTGTAAATGGTTCTGCAAGTAGCTTGTTTTAACTGATGCAGGTTGAAAGATAAAGGCAAGCATAATCACTCACAAGATTAAATGAAGTCTTTTAATCCTTAAATAAAGACAAAAAATAAAACAAAGCCAACACCCTCTTTGACATACATGCACGCTTCCATCCATAGCTACTGCGGACCTTGTGGTTTAGTCGTCAGTTTAACAGAGTGAGAAGTGCAACCACGTGAGACATCGGTACCAAGTTTACCCAAGCAACACAACTGCGTGACTAAAACTGCTTCGAGCGTTGCTCTGAGGTCATGTGACGGCTCTGTGGAGGGAAACAGGGGAGGGAGCAGACAGTGTGTAAATACAGGGATACGTCAGAGGAGATGCTGAAAAAACTTCTCTGCTAATCCTCTGATTTGGGGAAGCTGGCTCCGTCTGCGCGGCAGGATCGATCTCCAGCCCGACAAACCGATCACCAGCTGGGAGGATACCAGTCATCCTCCCCATGAGCTGGCAGCCAATTATATATTACGGGGATAAATAGCTCAGGCACATCCCAGCTCCCTGTTTTAGTGATGAGAGATGGGGATTTAAGCCATTCTCAAAGCGTTTCAGTGCTAAGTTAACAGCACAAACCTTCATTGATTATAAAATATCAAATTAACAGCTAATGACCTGCCGCATCTTTGAACAGACCCATCAGATGGGCCTTACAGGCCACCGTTAGTTGTTGCGAGGGGATTCATTATAGGACGGCCCTAAAGAGACCCTCCCATGATCAAAACTGGCACCATGCGGCAAAGGTAGCAGCTGTGTTTCATGGTACCTGTAAGAAAACTATAAAAAATCTTGTCTTGTGAGAGCGTCACACAGTACAAGTTCCAGCGAGGTCACTGGGGCCCATTCATTCGGTAAACAGGCAGAGAAAAACAATCAAATTAGATGCAGCATGTTGGTCACAAGGCTGCCATGCTGAAATTATGCCAGAGGTTTGTTAAGCACCCAAGACCAACAACTATCGGAGGCACATTAACAGGGTCAGAAAGCCCCCTACTATTTTCCCTTAAAGGACATATGATTGAAATATCCCTGCTTTTCCCCTCTACAAAGTCTAGGGTTAGAGATGATGCTAGAAAAAGTACTTAATTGAGCCTATTTTTTTTTGGCAGGTCTTCCTGGTGTCCATATTAGGGTTTGTGCTGTGCTGCATCACATACCTGCCGGATGAGAGGACATCCATGCAGTTTATTGTTAAGGTGAGGAGGGAAACATGTATCCGTCATTAAAGCAAAGACCCGTTTATGAGTCACATACCTAAACATGTCTACAGAACCATATTTAGTCATCTGGACTATGTGATACTACCCTGGCGTTAAGACTGAGATGTGTAGAGGCTGTGGATGTGCTGAGGTGTGAGACATTAGAAGCAGGGACTTCTGGCAGACACTAAAGTGTATGTTTCCATGCATCTGAGGCACGCAAAATGTGAGAAATTTCATAACATGATTAGTTTGCCTTACCTAATTTTTCACATTGGTCTTCAGTTGATGGTGCATTGTGGGATAGCACACAGCATTAACCACCCAAAAGCTAATGCATCCTGTGAAGGTAGGCGTGAGCAACCTGGGGGGGGTTGTATAATATTGGCATGTCCAGAGGGGCTGGAAAGTCAGCTGACCTTGGAGCCCCAGAAGTTTCTCTCCTTTATCAAACTATGGAAATTTGTTTCCTCTCCTCCACCGCTTTCTGATTTAAATTCACCATTAATACCTTTACTGACAAAGGTGCTATATAATGAGATTGTTGTGTTGGTCTCTTGATTTGCTTCGTTTTTGATTGTGCCCTGTTACTCCACCCCTCTGACCCCTCCCAAGGTCTCATACTTCCTGCTTTGCACGCTGGGCCTGATTCTCTCCATCCTGGTAATCGCCTTCTCAAGCCATCACTACACCCTGATCAATGGCTTCAGCTGCCAGGAAAAGGGTGAGGACTGCTCCTGCACCCATGACCCCGAGGACCCCATCGCCCGCACCTTCCTGTACGCCAACGTCAGCGACTGTTCCGCCATCACCGGCACCCTCAAGATCTACTTTCTGCTCCAGATCATGCTCAATGTGGCACAGGCTTTGGTGTGTCTGTCGGGGGCCTTAATCATGTGGATGCACAGGTACCAGATGTTCTTCGCGGGCCTGCAGATTGGCTCCCCATCTCCCCGCCAGTGGAAGAAGGTTAACCATCCCTAGTTTCCAAAGGGCGCCCTGCTGTGACACCTTGCATCGTCAGGGTGGGAAACCCCACACAAGCAATTGTAAACCTAAAGTTTTGGTACAAGGGAAGGGATGATTTTCTACATTTTTTACAGCTTTTTATAACATATCGGCTTTCTTTATATAGAGCTTTTGGCCTTAAAAACATTTTCTTTTTTTGTAACAAAGGGAGTGAAAAGGCAAACGTATAAACTTGCAAAACTCTTGTAATTCTCACTTGCATTTCCATGAGACGTGTGGACGCGGTCCTTCATTTTCATCACAGACGATGTATAAGACAAATTGTCAATTTGCTTCTGCAGAAATGCTAACCCTTATTGTCCCTGGATTTCTTATTGTAAAACATTTTCTAACGCTAATTCTAAGTATACTACAGAAATATTTTCTCTCTAAGGTAACATGCAACGTGGAGAGTTTGCATGTTCTCCCCATGTCGCAAAGATCTCCCGCTGCAGTTCAAAGACATGCATTTACGCTAAATTGCCCTTAGTGCCTGGCATCCAGTACAGGGTGTATCTCCAGCTTGTGCCCTCTGCTGCCTGGAAAAGACCTCAGGCCCTTTACCTTACTAAAGAGATGCAAATAAAAGATGGACGGACATAATTTGCTTTTAATTTACTTTGGTTTGGAAAGAGTCACAACAAAGACTCACAGATTAGCCAAACATGTTTGTCTGAGTCAACAGAGTCTTACTGGAGATAGGAATATAGATTAGATAGTCAAGCGGGTATAATGATTAGTTACGGAAAGTAACTCCAACACATTCCGCAAAGAAATATTTGAACTCCGAAAACCTGAAAAGCTGCCAGTTGTCCCGTGCCGGAAAGTCACAAGCGTAAATTACTGCAGGAATGCGACAAGCTGGCCAAGTAACTGTGAGTGTGCCCCTGCAGCTTCCCATGCCAGGAACTGCATTACTGGCCGAACTGTGAGCTGAATAAATCCGAATGTATTGCAAATCAGTCCAGACAGCTTGGAAGTGAAGGCTGTACATTCTGAGAAAGTAATGCCAACAAATGGAGACGCTCGCGCTTAATTCGTGCCGTTTAATTAAGCTGGCGTAATAGCCCAGTCTGGGAACAACATACCTCCATATAGAGCGTAAATGGATCCTACGTTTAATTGCAACTACAGCAGTCAAGTTATAGTGGATGTAACTCTATCCTTTATAAATTTAAAGGGAAATTTGTGCTTCATCGAAATCAAAATGTTTTGATATTTGTTTTTTTTTGTTCTTTTACTTCGTTTGCCATTTCTCTTATTATTTTACTGTTCCTCCCTACTGCCTGGATTCCATCACATCACAGTTCACGGCACGGATTCCAGTGTGAAAGAAAGGAATTTAAATGCGTGAGGTGAAGGCGCTCCTAATCCATTCCCACCCCCCCGTCATGTGCCTTCCTTTGGCGGAGGGGTGGTTTGGCGGGCAGGGCGCCTGGCATGGGGCCCAGTCGCTCCACACGGCCCACTGGCTACGCCCGGAGCAGTCCCGTGAAATCCATCCCCCAGAGAGGAGGGGAAAAGAAAAAAAAAAAACAGGAAGTGAGCTGCTTCTCCCACATCCAGTAAAACACTCTAGCCACAGAGGGTTTGGATTCTGTGTGAAGGCGTGGGGGGGGGGGGTACTAGGGGTGCACAGACAAGCAACAAGACTTCCCTTCAGTGTAAGATGACAAAGCACATTTGCCTTACATGCTAGACAGCAGAACATCCCACAAATTCTATTTAAAAATTTGAAATATAAGGTCCGCTACATACATAAGACTGGCTGTGACTATTATATACTCAAAAGCTACTGTAATAGCAGCAGGAGACATTTAGTATGCCGTAATAAATCCTAACAGAGCAAAGTGGTTACAATGGTGTAAATGCTCGATTCTATCAACCGCTGAAACAGTGGGTAATAAAATTATTCAAAGTCTTGAGTATGCTAATACTGTGTCCCTTTCACATTCACCTTATATGCCTTATAACTGCTACTCAGATGGAGAGCTCTTTTAAAGCTAATATCTTTGCTTATTAATATGTGTATTTTTTGTTTACTCAGTGATCTGAGACGTTTCATGTAATTTTAATAAAATATTTTTCTTGCCAATTTTCCCAATTCTTTCTTAGTCCCTTATTTAATAATATGCGTATAAAATAATTAACTATTTACATATGCAGAAATATATTTGGACACTGCATTTGTCCCCGCGACCCAGAACAAGATAAGGGATTAGGGCAGAAGTTCCAGGCTATCCCCCCCAGGGCCAAATTCCACCTGCAACCTGAGGGGAGGGGGGGGGGTCCCCAAAGGTAATATTTGCTGGGCTGTGAGGGAAAATCGTCCGAGGCTCAGATTAAATAATATGTAACTGGCTTCTGCCACTTGGTAACCACTAGGTTAGATTTGATTGATTGATTGATGGCTTTGTTTTTGTGAAGAATGTTAGGAGGAAACATATAAACAACCACTAAATGGACTACTTTTGCAGACATGCAGCCTGCCAGGCACTGGGTATCACCCCCACCCCGATTAGGAGACATAAGAGCCCAAGGCAAGGCACCTCCTACTAACACGGGGTAGGAACCGGAGAGCGCACGGAAAACACACTGTCACACGGACTCCGGCTCGTGGGCCCCACCATTCATCACGTGAGGAGCGTGACCGACAATACATCTGCCCACCGGAACGTTTGGCGTGACCGAATGAGTCATGTGACTCATCACGAGGTCGGGCGGGGGTAGGATATATTAGGATTGGTCTGTTTACGCCGCCGACATCTGCCACGCGCAGTAGGGAGTGTTTACAAAACGCACGGTCACGCGGGCGCTCGCGCTCTCTATGCTGACGTAACTGCCGCCGCCCTTAAACGCTTTAACAGCTGTCATTACGGATTTCCCCAACGCGCCCATTTATTTCTGTAAAAATAGGGTATTACGTCTCCGGATACGAACACGGACCGCGGCATACTTAAAAAAAAAATTCGGAAAATTGAGCTCGGTTAAATAAAAACGGTCCACTTTATGTACGTCTACAGTACATTAATCACATCACACATGCCGGCATTAGGATATACTCCGATCCTAAATTCTTCTATCCAGTCATTACCACCTTTGAATTTTGGTGAGCTGAGGACTTTCAGGGCACTGATGGAGGTCTTTCCCAGGGAGACGTGGTGCAGCCCTGGGAGGGTCCGGTCCTTCTGCCCCGTTTAACATGCAGGATTTCCTGACTTAAGGTTGGCGGTGATACAAAATCATTTTACACTAGCGTTGTACGGAAGCGCGCGCACACAGAGATAAAGTGAAAAGTCCTACACGCACTAAGCGTTTCTGCCCATTCAGCCACACACTCAAATCAAATTAATGGCTTTTACTGATCGAACTTTATAGTTAAAAGTCCACTTACAATTTGTAAAAAATGCAGGAATATCTCACACTCTAGACTCAAAAAACGTATTCAATACATATACAATTGTTATCAGAACACTTTATTTTTAAAAATATTAATCTGACAGCACAGAAAAAGTTTAGATTGTTTTATGAGTATTGGATGCCGGGGGTGACTATATGTTCTCACTATGCTGCTGTGGTTCGTGTGACAGTGACCAGCTTCAGTTTCTTTACTGGAACAACGTGTCTGTGCGTGTCGGGTGGGGTGGGGGGGGCGCATTCATTAGGCGAGTGACGGCTGAAAGAGTCATATTTTAGAATGAGATGTGGGGGTGATAGGTTAGGTGGTGGTGGTGGTGGGGGGGTCCCTCTTAAGGTACATTCCACGTCACACTTGAGTAAACCTGCCTTGCGTCCCCGCGACCGTATGTAAGCCGTAGAGGGCAATGTGAGTGGTAGCGTGCGAAGACTACAGTGAGAACACAGGCACTACCAATGCCTCCCCCACCCCCCCAGGTGCCCACAGCCGCGATTCAGTGAGCCCTCACAGGACAGTCTGTTCCGATCGTCCGTCGACCAAAATATCTCCAGAGAAATTCTTTGCTGCCACCACGGTTTTTTCTGTAATACACAGTCTTCCGTAATTCAAGTAAATTCCATTAAATATACATCTCAGTCTAAATATACATATTAATGTTATTTTATGAACAATGTACAGCTCATTTTAGAGAGAAGGCACATTACACAAAATTGAGAATACCAAGGGGGCAAAATCTGTCATGGTGCACGACTCAACCGTGTACTGAAGATGGGACCGGAGAACATGTGACTGGCATTCTGGTGGATTTCTCGAACTTCCAAATTCATCCAGGAGAAAGAAGTACTTGGCCAAAGGCAAAAGGAGTGTCTGACAGGCTTGGTGGTGTTGTCCTGCTTGATGGACGCGCTGTCTGAAACAACTCCATGTCGCTGGGTCGTGATGACACCCATCCACCAGTCATCCCAGTCCTCCCAGCTTGCCTGACACCATCTCCGAGCGGCGTAGCAGGCAGCCGGCTTCTTCATGCTGTGGCTGGTGTGTTAGACCATGTTGCCCATTCGTTCAAATGCAAACATGCAGATCATACCCAAAAGTACACGGCTAAGCAACGTTTCAGCCATAAAAGAAAGAATGTTAAGAATGTTATTCTTTTAAAAACCCAGAAAATTTCCAGTCAAGAGGATAAAATGATTCCCCTGTAGGTCAGAATCGCCTGGAGTCCAGCCCTTAACCAATTTTGGACCCAATAATTCAACACTGCTGTAAAACAAAGACACATACAATACAAGAAATGGTAGGAAAGATGGGCAATGCTGAAGAGAAGAGCCAGGATTCCTTGAGACACCAAGACACCTTTTCTTCTTTGCCTTTCATCCAGACATGTCCTAATATGACTGCCATTCCATGGTAGGTGTGTCTGTGTGAGTGTGTGTGTGTGTTACAGGAGGTCAGTAATACATGTAAAGAGAGTGTATCCAATAGGACTGTCCGCCACTACGTGCCAGGTCACCTGCTCTCAGTGTGCCCTGGGCCTTGGCAGCCATATCAGGGGAGTCCCTCCTTGAAGGAGAGGGGGGATAGTTCTTCAGTGGGCCGAGACCTGGTGGTTGGCCACTGGAGGCCCCAGGAAACCCATCCTCTGCTTGTTCTTCCGCTGCTCTGTCATCTGTGGGTGGGGTTGGGTTGGGGGGGAGGGAGAGTCTGCCTTCAGAATCTCGGCCACAGAGGTTAAGGCCCACAGGCACAGGATGTTCGGGCTACATAAGTAACTATCTATATGTCCAGAAATACTTTGTGACCATATTTGACCAGGAATCCGCAGCCTAAACCCCTCCCTTGCTCTCTCTCACAGGCTTATGGTGTTTTTCCACTGTCACCAAGAACCGCGCTGTACCACAAACTGATGGCGTCCCTTGGGTTTTACGTCACTGTCGCTTTCCAAACCCTGCATCGCCTTTACCGAGCCAACCCTCCTGCAGTGGAAAACCGAAGCGAGCTGGAACCGTGCTGTAACTAGTCTCTCTTCACTTGGGTAGGGCTTGGTTCCTGTATGTCAGTGGAAAAGCACCATTAGATAGGCCCCTCGAGCTTGCATACGCACCATGAGCACCAGAGACCCAGGTCATGTGGAGTGCGGGTCGGGGGGGGGCTTGTAATTAATCAGGCCAATAGTAACTTAACATTGGCAAAGTAAGAGACGGCAGACTGTGCTGGTGCTTAATAGATGGAGAGGGACAGCGGTGATGTGTACAGGCTGGGGGAGAGACAAGGACCCCCTACCTGAAATAGTTCCCTGTTAGCACTGCAAGTACATCTCTTAGCTTGAGTTGTGTTGGTAAAGGTTTTAAAGTTCATTTCATCGTCTTGCCCTGGATTTGAGCTACTGCAGGATCACAGGGGTGGTAAACCCAAAAGATCAGGGTGACCCACCGTGACATATGGGGGTATTCCGTGACTCACCTGCTCCTTGAGCTCAGCCAGCTGGGCCGACAGCTGCGTCACCAGGCCCACCGTGCTCTCCAGCTTCTCCTGCAGCATGCGGATCTCGTTCTGCTCGCTGTCACCCTCACTGCTCACCAGGGACATAGCCCGCATGCGAGGAAACCAGTCCAGATTCTTCTCCTGAACATGGCGAAGAGAAAGAATGGAAACAGATTTACATGTAAGGTGATCGTACGTAAAAATCAAACTGCAAATCAGAAATCATATTTGTAAATCCCTAACTTGACTTGTAGGCAAAGTCCAACAGATTCATATGTCAAGTGAACAGATTAAACACAGATTCTCATTTTATGAGTAGTTTAGACAGATTTGTATCCGTAAGAACCCCACACTTACTAATCACCTCCTTACAGTATTTACATTACTGTCAATGTAAACTGTAAGCAGTACATTTTGTTGGCATATCACTGAAACTAATTTATTTAGATATCCAGGATTTCAATCGTTAATTCATTATGCAGTTTTTTTTAAACAATTCATTACATTCATTCAAAAGATTTTTTTCACCAGTGGCAAATATACCTTTCTTCATGTAACTAGTGATTTTTTTTACATTTAGTGCTGAAGTTGCAAATGCATGAACTGTGATTCCTAATCGCACCCTAAACATTGTAAACCGTTAAATTAGGATTTGTAACTGGAAAATGAGGACTGCACTCATAAAACTTAGGCAGCAGGCACAGGTATTTCTACATTTGTAACTCTGAACATGGATTTGTGTTTCTTAAAATCACATGACATTTAATTTCATAACATTTAGGTACCATTACTTTAGATGTTAAATTTATCGTCATAGAGAGTGGGGGGCTGCAGTGTGTTGGCATCTGCCCAGGGTTGGTTCCCGCCTGCGCCCATTGTTCCCAGGATGGGCTCCGGTCCCCTGCGACCCCGGTTGGGATTAAGCGGTTTCAGAAAATGGACGGATGGATGGATGAATGGATGGAGAGTGGGGGGATTAAACAGGAAAGCTGCAGGTACCCTGAAATTCCCAGATTGGATCGCTGACTGCCACTTTTACTCAGATCGGGACACCTGACTGAGGTGTGACGGCCTGCTGTCCTTCATCACTTTCCATCATCATTACTCAGATCCTCAGTTAAAACTTCTTCACGCAGTACTGCCATCTGGAGCCCCTCTGCTGTGGTCACTATGGCGCTAGAGGCATCACGTGCACCTCTTGGAGTGTCTTGTGTCGACCGGAATTACCACCGGCACTCTGAGCCAATGATGTCTTAATCGCCCAGGCCCTCTCCCGAGTCGTCTGGGCCACACACTGCGGGGGTGGAAAGAAGACCAACACCCCCCCCCCCCAGCCCCTGTGGTGAGGTCACATGGCTCACAGCCGCCGAGACTGCTGCTGGCAGTGTTCCGCACCCCCCTCCCCGCTGCATACTGGACGGGGACAAGCTCTCTATTCGGCTGGCGAGAACAGAGGCCTGCGTCAGATCTCACAGATCAACCATCCGACTTCTCCATAGCAGGGCACAGCCAGACAAAAGGACACTGGAAACATCTATATTCGCTACTGGAAACATTGGAATTCAGCGCTGAGGCAACAGAAGCAAAACAACAACAAATAAACAAACCTGACTGTGGCTATGGTGTCAATACCTATGCACATTATTTAATTTGTGTCATTTAAACTACCAAGGTTCTCAAGGTCTTTAAAACAGCAGTTGAAATAAGTTCTTAAAGAGGATCCACTTTCAGTTTTCGGGCTGTCTATGCTAAAGAATCACGAATACCCATTGAAATATATGGTTGGTTCAATTCAGGGCTACAGGTTCAAACAATGAACTAAGTGCTGGAGGGATGGGAAAGCTGCTCATCCCATTAAAACTGGTTTTCAGAGGCCACAGAGACAGGAGAGTGAGCGGGAGAAGGCGGCCGCAATGGGCTGCTGCAGAAAGTCAGCGGGAACAGGGCACAGCTTGTGGTAGCTGAAAGCCGATGAATCGAGCCATTTTACCCTCACGGCTCAGGGGCGACGCACTCATTTTCAGGCCAGGCCTTGGGATCAGCGGGGGGTGGGTGAGAAGGGGGAGGGCGGAGAGCAGCTCAAAACATCATTTTGTGTGAGAAAACGAAAAACAAGTCCTCTTAATGAAAACCTCTCCTTTTAAAATCCATGTGCAAAAATACCTGTTCTCCAGTCTATACAGAATAAACAATTACACTGACCCACACATCTCTCTGAGTCCTAACCCCTTAAATATTAGCAACATACAAGTGGAAATACTGTATTTAATGATGTACATTAAATCAAATGATTTAATTCACAATGGGGTCTGAATAGGAAGAGGTCAATATGACAAACAATGAAGACAAACTCTTGGGAAAAACAACGAGGACAGCAGTGAATTTTCAGCTTCAACATTTTGATTGAATCAAGTAAATAAACTGTCTCACTATTGGAGTCTTGATTAGGTAATTTCTCTGTAGTGTCCCCCCATAATTAAGCTATAGTTTAACGTGACGTAGATCCACAGCCTTGCCCAATCTTAATCAGGATGAGAGTTACTCTCAAACTCTACACCTCTACACCTCACAACCACTGCTTTAGGCATTAAACAAACAAAAAACAACACAATTAAAATGCGTCTCTGCTTAGAGTGAATCCATAGCCTCGTACGTGCCGCAGGCTGCTTGGAAGCTGGAACGTGCATTCTGGAGCATCCCGGCCTGCTGCCATGGAGCATTAACCAAAGACGCGGTAAAGGAGAGAGATCATGGGCAGCGCTTTGGTAAAAGCACGGTGTGGGATGGACGGGGTGACGACCTCGTTACGCCTGCGGAGGGGCCTGGCAGATCTGCGCCGAAGCGAGTCTCCCATTCACCTCGAACGCGTGTAAATTCTCATGAGAATCAAAGGCCGTGTTTTGTAAGCATTTTCCCAGTTTCGCTTTCACCATGAATCCACTGCGATGAATGCACATCTCTCTAAGCAGCGACATTCCGTTTTGCCGTCGCTGATTGTGGATGTGGTTTTCTGGCTTGACAATGACGGGGAAATTCGATTAGCAGAAATGACCCCTGAGGTGTCCAGTCCTGGCTACATCACACACTCCAGAGTTATTGAAATCGTTCATTATTTAAGCTGAGCGGGGAGGGTCTGCGTCCTCAGCCCTGAAAGGACCCCCCCCCACACACACACCCCCGTCATGCCCAGGGAGGGCAGACATTCCTTTCCGGCCATCGGGAGAACAGTGTCCGTGCATCCTTAAGCCGTAAGCTGCGTCTATCTTTAAACCCTACCTATACGGGAGGGCAGCGTTGCTATGGGAACGTGCCGAAAGTGCACCATGTGAGGGGCTAGAAGGAGCCAGTGGGACTGTCTGCACCCGAGTGAAAAGGTTGCGTAACAGGAGCGCCGCATGCGGATCGAGCGCGGCCAGCCTGTCGGGGATAATTAAAGCACAGGTAGCGCGAACAAACCCCCTGACCGGCTCCCGGGGGGGAGGGTGACTCAGCGCGGAGCTGCAGTCATGCCCCTTACACAACGATCTCCTGGGTGGTGGAGCAAAGCAGTCCTCCCCCATCATGCCTCTCATGCAAAAACTTAGGCACCCCCTGTTAGGGAAACACAGGACCAAGTGCTTTGTACCCCCCGGCAGCAAGAAGCAGTGATAAACACAGGGAACACATGCGCGCACACGTGCACACACGCGCACACACGCGCATACACGCATGTAGGGTAAACATATCCTTATGGGGACCGCTCATTCACACACACACACACACACACACACACACACACACACACACACACACACACACTAGCCACAGTACAGCCATCTATTATATCCTACATTGTACCACTTCCTGAATGAACGAGGATTGGCAAATATTAATTTAAGTCAAAATCATTATATATCCTAGGGTTGTTGCCATCTATGTTCGACCCACCCTGGTACAGAAACTCAATCCATTTCTTATTGTAAGACGCCACATATTTTCTGGATGACACGCTAATAGATCCATTGTTCCTGTGCTTGTGAACCGTAGTGAGTCGCCGCAGGCTGAGGACACCGTATCGGCGTCTCCGGGACACTCAGCTTCCCGCCACCCAAGCGGCACGGACATCCGGCCGCGATCCAGCCCCAAAGCAAACCGGGGAGTGAAACAGCATCTCGCAATTAGCAGCTCGCAATCCGACTTGCCAAAGCACCTCTTGCATTTCAGGATAACGAAGGCGTGGAACGTAACTGCTTGAGCGCTCCCGTGACACCGAAAGCGTCGAAACCATCGGGGGGGGGAGTGGGGGGGTCGATCCGGGTGGGGGTGGGGTCCTCTATGCATAGGAGACTGTACGATTCACCCCCATTACAGGCATTTTTAGCCTCCTATGTTTGCATTACCGTCGTGATATGCTAACATTACATACCAGCTTCAGGAAACTGGCTGAATGAGAATAACTGTACAAAGAATACAAAGTGCTCTGTTATGTTCAAATGACAGGTTGATGTTTGAGACACTAGAAGATTTGCTCCAATGCCTGCATCACACCCTGGTCAAACAGAGAAGCACATTCAGCAATAGACTCACACAGCTGTGCTGCTCCAGTGAGCACTATCTAAGGTCTCCCAGTGGCCATCAAGAACTACAATAAGTGCCCCCCCCCCCCGACCCCCTCTCTGTTGCCAGCCCTCTCGAACAGTATGGTATTTAAATGTTTGCACAGTTTTTTTTTTTTTTGCACTTTGCAATTTAGTATTTGTATTGTGTCTTTTGTACAGTATTGTGTTCTGTGTCTTGACTGTGTACTGATGTCACGTTTTGTGTGTGCTGCTGTAACCTTTTGGAAAATCCTTCAGCATCAATAATGTGCTCCTGCTGCTACTAGTACTACTACTACCACTACTACTACTACCATATTACCACCACCATCACCACTACTACTACTGCTACTACCCCTACTACTACTACCATCACCATCACCACTACTACTACCACCACCACCACCATTACTACTACTACTACTACTACTACTACTACTACTACTACTACTTCTGACCTGCCAAGGGAAGATACTAAAGAACCTGGCCTTAGTCGACCTGGACACAAGGTTGGGCTCATGGGGAAACACAAACCATCAAGGAGCCCAAATCATTTGGCAAATGGTTAATGTAAATATCATACAAGCATCCATATTAAACAGGATGGTAATATAATTACTGTAACACAGTGGATGAAGGGACAGGCCATAGGTAGCCACTACCAGCTGATCTATGCTGGGAAACACGTCCTGTATGAACCTGAGATCCACTTTATGTTTACAGCCGTTAGAATCCAAGCAGAGACAATAATTGAACATCCAAACATTCCTCGAGTACAAATCCAAACAAACTTAAAAAAAAATATTACACAATTCACGCGGTACCAAAAAGTCTTGGATTAATTCATTTAAACAAAGTAACGCCACACAAAACTGGGTCTGTCTAAATTTACTTCAGTCATATTGCCAACCGTGTACCAACACGAAGCTGGCACGCGTCGCACGGACCCAGCTTGTAGTGTCATTTGGCACCCAGTTGCTTGAATGAATGTTTTCAGGAGTTGAATTCCTATTTACATCCTCCTCCTTGTCTTAGTGCTGTAGGGCTATGGACTGAACTTCACCCAGAATCTTGAAAATACATTACAATACATCATTATATACATGATTTTTCCATGTATCACTCCCCATTTCTGTGGCCTGATTGGCTTTGGCCAATAAATCAATTTAAAATGCGTCGAACAAGTCAACACACCTTGATCATCTGGGCTACGTAGCTCTCCGGGCCGGTGTACTCAGTGGGGTCCTTGACTCGCACCAGCACCAGGAAGTAGAGGTAGTGCCACATGTTGTGCTCCGACTTAATGTGCTCCTCAAAGGAAACGGTCTTGTTGTCGAACTTGTCTCTTTCCAGTCCTGCGAGAGAACACAGGTGTCATAGGAGGGAACGTTGATCGCTCTGGTAAGTGAAAATGCTAACAAGGGTTTACAAAAGTCCAGTCTTAACAGGATCCTGCAACAAGCAGACAGTCTCTTTGAACAGACAGATAATCCTCTTTTCTTCCTGCCAAGATAGCGAGTGAGCCTGGAACCATGCCATGCAACACGGCACAAGGCAGGGGTACACTTTGGATGGGATGCCAGTCCATTGCAAGGCACATAAACACCCATCCATCCATCCATTCATCCATCCATCCTCCCATTTTCTGTACCCATTTGTCATTTACATGGTTGCGGGGGTCTGGAGTCTATCCTGGAAGCTATGGGCACAAGGCAGGGATTAACCCAAGATGGGGGCGCCAACCTTTTGCAGGGCGCACACCATTCATACCAATTCTCCTCAGCAGGTCTTTAGACTGTGGGGGGAATCCAGACAACTTGGAGGAAACTCCACGATGACATGGTGAGAACATGCAAATTCCACACACACGTAACTAGGGCAGAAACTCGACCCTTTAGTTCCAGTAGTGTGAGGCAAAAGTGATAACCACTGCCCCGGCCCCCACATACACACACTACAGGCAATTTAGAGATAAGTTAGTGAAACTGCGTGTCTTTGGACTGTGGGAGAAATGTAGAGTACCTGGTGGAAACCCACTTAACATGGTCAGAACATGCAAATTTCACACATAGTGGGGCAAGATTCCAACCACTAACCCCAGTACAAGGCAGCTCCCTGTGCCACCGTGCCTCCCACAAACATCGGTATCATCCCAGTTAACCCAGTACACAACCTTCTACTTTAGTTAGTTACCATAAAGCTGGGGCCAACTGAATTTCAGAAGTTCAGTCTTTCAGGGATGGCTTCACCCCCCCCCCAAAAGCTCGGTACCCACCGCAGATGAAACAGGAGGTCTTCAGAATCTCTTCCTTGCGCTGCTTTTCACTCCTCAGGTCGGCGAAAGTGTCGATGATTACACCGAAGATCAGGTTGAGCACGATGATGATGACGATGAAGAAGAACAGGAGGTCGTAGACCACGCGGGCAGCAAACCGGGGTTCCTGTGCAGACGGAACGTGTCAAACGCCGCATCCAGGCCCTTCGCTCGCCAGTGACACCCACGGCAATCTGCTGACCAGGCAGCTGGAGTCTAACCTCTAGCCTGTGGCTTCATTCTATCATTAAAAAGAAGCATATCTATAAAAAAGCTAGCCATACATGCGTCCACCAACCAGGACCGGGAGATGTAGAGATCGGTGGCAATCCCAAGCAGTGCTGGGCTGGAAACAGCACGTGCTCTACATGGGATGCCAGGCCATCATATGGCAAAAGCGTTATTATAACTGATATTATTACAATTATCAGTACAGCGCCTTAACCACGAATATACAGATACAAGACTTTAAGGTACACTTGTTCTAATATATTACTTTAGCAAGGCTTTGAAGATGACACAAAGTTGACGATTGCAGAATTTCGCAGTGAGTAAGTAAGCGAGTGGCCCGGTTCGGCTGAATCAGGTCTCCCGCATCAGTGTCAGGACAAACACCATCGGTCCCCACATGGTACCAGACGGACACGCCAGCACAGGAATCTCCCGACCAAACTCTCGGCTTTTGGTCACGGCCTGGGACTTTCACATGACAACGATATCAAGTAAGATCATTTTAGTTTTTAGTCTTAAAATATTTATTATATACCAGAGAGCAGGTTTAATGTTATGTAACCCTATATTAAATTCACAATATCCCTAAAGTAAACACTGCAGCAAAGGATTGTGGGTATGACATTGAGACTGTTCAGTTGTGCCCCAAATATTGCTGCTGCTGTTACAATATTACTATTACCACTAACCAAATTTAATGTTAAGCAGAAGGCCGCTATTCCATAACATTTCACTTATTCATTTATGAATTCGGAAAGTCGTTAGATTACAGAGTGACAAGTGTCCGTCGACAGAGGTATCGCAATACTGCCGCGATAAAAGTGTCTTTTCTCAGAAGGTGGCTGGAGAGGACACTGACAGAAAGGGTTCAGACAAGGTGCTCTGTACGCATCAATGAAGTGTATTTTCACAAACAGCAGGCACTGAGGGTTATCTGAGGAAATCAGTAGGGGGGGGGGGGCTTGCTGAATACTCCCTCAGAGACTGTTCCTCTCTGCTGTGCCCCTCTCTGCATGGTCGAGGACAAGGGAGTCTTTCTCACACTGCTGGCTTCATCAGCGGCCTCTCTCACCAGGACAAAAACAGGTCCAGTGAAGTATGGACGCCCCCTCAAGGGCCCTAAACAGCCCCCTCCCATCCTTAGGGAGCTGATTACTCATGGATCTTAGCTTGACTTGATAATCCTCAGCTCATATAACCACGCTCACACTCCCCGACTGACGGATGACATCACAGAGCCCTAAGGGGTGAGTGATCTACCACATAGCACCTAACGGAATTCATCATGTCCCAGGAGGGGGGGGGGGGCGACTGACCAGATCCCCCCCACAAAAGGTTAAGATGAGTGGCACCCTCAAGAGGAAGAGAGGACGTCCATCGCCATTTCCGAACTGGCGGAAGAAAGCGTGTTCCAAATCTCGAGGAAAGATTTGCAGCGAGATGTTTACTCCAGTGCGCTTATCGGCGAGGCGCAATGTTCGCATGCATCACTGCTTCCGGCGTGTGAAGAGACACTGGAGAAGCCAGTCGCATGCGCTGGCCTTTTGGCGGTGGCGCCCGCGAGCTCCCTCACACCAGTGCCCGCCTACAGTCACACTCATCGGATAAAAATACACTCTGCCGGGGCCTTGCATCATTCGGCAAGATGCGGACTTCCTGCGCGAGGAATTTCACTGCAGGGCCGCCTCCGGGGGGCTTGCTGCCAGTTTAGGAAATTCAGGCTTAGTTTGTAATATGCTTTTTTGCATTTATATTTAGTCTAAGTTTTACTTTGCATCCTCAGGTATAACACAGACACGGGCTGTTCTTGTGCGTCTTCGGAAAGGAAGCCAAATGATAAAACGCAGCTTTCCAGCACACGGAAGATATATTATGTACTTTAAATAACAAAATCATTAATAAATTTGTACACTTTTATTTTCTTCTTGGAAGAATCCACATAAAGCTGCCCGCTTCCTTTCTCTGATGCTGGCCAGTGGTTCCCTGGAGTATTCTCTGTGACACTTTACTAAAGAATAGCCCTTTTTTCCTCGTTTTAGTCTAGTTTCCCACGCTGCCATCTCCACTCAGACAAAGTTAACATAGAGCACTGGTGTCCTGGGGAAATGGGGGGGACCCACAGGTGTGTTAGAGGCTAATTAACAGCCCGCTTTGTCCTCCATAGCTCCCCCACACACACACCCAAACACACACGCACACACACACACGCACACACGCACAAAAAAACACAACTTGTTGTCAAATGTGTCTTTAGAAATACATGACGTGGGCTGGGGGTACAGGGTAGAGGACGTGTACCTTTTAATGTCCGCAGGCCAGGCGATTTCAGGTGACAGAGGGGAATCAAAAAGTGTAAAGCCATGGCCTAAATAGGCAGAAACTGAAAACAGACCAAGAATGCAGACTGACACCCCGCTTTGGATGAGCGAGTGGGTGGGCAGCCTGTCGGAGAGCCTCCCACGCGTCTCACGAGCGGCGTGGATCTGATCGGCCGGCGGCATGGGTATTCACCTCGAAACCCGGAGGCAGAAGTCACTGTGGCTGGCGGCAGAGTTTCGCGATACGCCCACGACTCGCTTTTGCTCGAATCCCGAAACAAGCGGATCAGAAATGACTCGGCCGGATCCAGTGACGTCATTTTACAGTGCAGAGCCGCAAGGTGGCAAAAATGCCATCACATTGAAAATCATAATTACAGATGACAATGGCAGTGGCCTCTTTTAATTTAGAACACACGCAAAAAAAAAAAAAAAAAGAAGAAAACTGCAAAAAGAAAGCAAAAAGAATAAGAAAATACTCAGATACAAAACTATACAGCACACATATAAAGAAATATTTCTAGAATTACTAGAAATAAATGAATATTCAAATAATACTGGCACCCACCTATAAATTAAAAATCAAATAAATTCTGTGCACATAATTTATGTGCAATCAGAAAGCAGTGGAGATAACAGAGGTTGTTACAAGATAGGATGCTTCGTGATGTGCAGATAATAATAATAATAATAATATGTGTTCACTGATCAGCGCAAGCCCTGAATGGATCAGTAGTTGCTAGATATGGACAAACCAGGAATGGAATCACACTCGCGGGGGTGCCAGGAGACTGCAGGGGGCTGGCGGTGGTCCCCGCGAGAGGGCCGGTGGTGTGACTCACGGATTTGGAGGGCTTCCTCAGCATGTCGCCCACGCCTCCTCCGTTCCGCAGGCCCTGGTTCAGCACGGTCACGATGCACATCAGCAGGGTGTCGCACATCTGCTCCATGTTTCCGTCATCCTCGTCTGGGGGTGTGGGGGGGGCGGGGGGGGGTGTAAACAGATGTCAAAATGGTGGCACCCACAGGTCCGCAGTTCCGGCGTCACTCTAGAAGCAGCACTTAATTCAGACAAAATAAATACCGATAGCTCACAGGAGAGATTTAAAGGCGCTAAGCCGAGATGTGGTTCAGGCTTTAGGGCGCCACCTACAGGCAGGAGGGGGGCAAGGACACACCCCCACCGGCAGTGGTGCTGAAAGGGGAAGGCACGCCTGGGATCCCGGGGCTCTCAGTGGGAGGTGCGGCGGAGAGCATGCCGTCCGTGCACCACCTTCCCGCTGCGCCCCATCTGGCCTGCAGGGATCGCCCTGCTTGTTTGTTTGGTTTCTTTATTCCTTTCGACCAAAGCACAGCAGGGAACATGCATTTCTATATGCTGTATAAAGACATCCACCCATAGGGCGGCGTGGTGTCACCTCACACCTCCAGGGTGGGGGGCTTCAATCCTGCATTCTCTCTCTCTCTCTCTCTCTCTCTCTCTCTCTCTCTCTCCCTGCAGATATTCCTCAATCCGTGCCGTTAACCGACATCTCGCAATGTCCTGTAGTGGGACAGTGGTGCCCCAACTCACCTGATTTTTAATTCATATTAAATAGCTCTGACATGGCAGATTGAGTCGGGGGGGCAGTTGGGTTGGTTGTCATGTCAGGGGGTATAAATCTCCATGATGCACTTTGATTCCCCCCAGTAATAAAGGCATAAAGTCCTCTGTAAGAAATATTATAGCTTGCTACCTGTAAAAGCAGTTTTATTATATTATTATTATTACTACATTATTATTATTATTACTACATTATTATTATTATTATTACTACATTATTATTATTATTATTACTACTACTACTACTACTACTACACTGGCATCCCATCGAAGGTGTACCCTAGCCCTGTGCTACCTGGGACAGGCCTTGGTCCAGGTCAGGATAAGTGTTTGGAAGGTGGATGGACGGACGAAGACATCTCTATACCATTTTAATACTAAACAAACTCAGATGTCCCATCCGGCCAGAAACGGCGCCACTCTTTTGAAGGCATTCAATCCCGGCTTTGACTGCCAGCGAGGCAGCCGGGAGAACCTGCAGGCTGCCCACACGCTCACGTGCCCCGTGACCCCCGGCGGGGGGGGGGGGGGTGTCGGCAGAGGCCCGGCAGGCAGCGAGGGCCGAGGGGCAGAGCGGGTGAATCACGGCGAGACGCCGAGCAGCATGCAGGGCCGTCGCTATGCTGGGGCCCCTCCCACGGTTACATAACGGCGCCTGGCTGCGAGTGAGTCACCCTCTGTGGAACGATGCGCATCCAGTGATCTGTGTTTCGTAACAGAAGCCAAGCCCCCCCCTCCCCCGCCCCCGCCCAACCATAACAGCAGCATCACCGAACCAGCTACAGTCTTCCTCAGCCTAAACTTGGGTTACGTACCGTTTACCGCTGTTACGTCTATCGACCCTAATCTCCAGCTGCTTCTCTCTCGGAATAGAGCTGCTGGTGTTTAACGAGCTGCTACAAAAAAAAAAACGAAAGTTCGTGGAGTGGCCCTGGCGTCGTCATCTCTGCAGTCTCTCAAATTAAATAATATCAAAATAACATTAAAAATTATCCATGCGATGGACTAGCTCCTCATCTTGAGTGCTCCCCAGAATCATTTCTTTGGAGAGGCTCTGGGTTCACCACATCCTGCTGCTGGATAGGTGGTAATGGATGGATGGATGGAAGGATGGATGGGTAGTCCAAAGTTACCGTCATTTCACAATACCAGATGTACATCTATATTCCAGATGTGTGTGTGTGTATATATGTACATTTATATATATATATATATATGTATATATATATTTATATATATATATATATATATTTATATATGTGTATATACTGTGTATATATATATATACATATACACACACACACACACACATATATATACATAAATATATATATATATATATATATAAATAAATGTACATATATACAGTGGTACCTCAGTTGTCGAACTCATTAGAACTCGAATTTCTTAAAAATCGAACCAACCAGTTCGAAAAAAAATTACCTAGAACTCGATCTGATTCTCAGAAGTCAAACTGTGAACACCGACTTAAGATAACTTGTTTGCTTGGGGAAATGAGTCACGCGGCACGTCTCTCAGCGGAAACAAAGGGTAACGCTTCAGTCTCAGCCTCGTATTCGCTGTGATAGCACCGTGCATGTTTACACTAGCTGAATACATATATTTAGACAGTAAAATACATTTAGACAATGATAGACAGTAACAGTAATTATTATTATATAATAAAATACATTTAAAAATAAAGATTTCTTATTCATTATTTTAATATTAACAATAAACCATTAATACGTTTAATTATAATAATATTATTGTGCCAAGCGGGGACGGAACGTAGACAAAGGCGCAGACGTCAGGGTATCGGGGAATACGGGGTTTAATTACAGGTAAGGCAGGCAAAACGCAGATGGACAATACAATGACCGGACTGGGGAAACAAACTGAAACGCGGACGAAATACAGAGGACTAATGACAACAACAGCTGATCACACGGGGATTCCACACGGGGTTAACGAGGGGGCGTGGCACACGGAAGGAGCGGACAATTGGGGCAGGACACATTGTTTGGATACATTTATTTTCTTTACAAATTACTGTTTTGATAAATGTGCTTAGATGTGTTTAGTACAGTATATGCTCTTCTTGTTTTATCCGGTTCATTTTGTGTTTAAATGCTAAAAAAAAAACATATTTAGATGTAATTTTTTGGGACCGGGAACCAATAAATTGGTTTTCCATTATTTACACATATACACATACATACATATACATATATATATATATATATATATATATATACATACATATATATACATACATACCAGGTGTACATCTATATACCAGACTTATATCTATATACCAGGTGTATATTATATAGCAGGTGTACATCTATATACCAGACATATCTATATACCAGGTGTATATCTATATACCAGGCTTGTATCTATATACTGTACCAGGGGCTTTTCCCCAGTGGCCAAATTCTACCAGTAACACAAAGCCAAGGCCCACTGGCCCCAATACTACTATACTACATACTACATGAAAACGTGGGGGTTGGGGGGGGCGTGCTGGCAATAATTTTGGGTGTGGATCGCATGGTCCAGACTGAATTTCAAATGCGTCCACCAATTGAGTACCTCTGCTCTGTACTGTATGTTTCTTCAACAAGATATAACAGGTTAAGGTGCAGAAATTTCAAAGACGGGTGTGAAGTGCAAACGGCCCCCGACTAACGGGAGGCAGCGGCACGGCAGGGGCTAAAGCACAGCCTGAGGCGGATGCCCTCCCCAGGCTGCAGGGCTATTCCAGGAAACCCTGCAGGAGCCCCGCATCCAGCACCTCCGGGGGAGCCCGAGCGGCCGGCCCAGTGCGTCTGACTCACCTGCGACAAACGCCGGGGGTTCTGCGCTGCAGTTCTCCTTGAGGCACGTAGGTGGAGCCACGCCATCCTTCGGAACCAAGCTCTTGCCTTCGGCGAGAGGAAGTCAGGGTTAGCCGTCGGGTCGGGCTCTCACCGCAATGAACAGAGAATCGAACCGCTGGCAGGCGATCCCACCGACGGCCCGACACCTGCCCAGCACTTCAGCTACACCCATATCCAGCTGCGACGGGCAGCTTGTCAATAATGGACCGAAAAAGGAAAACCAGACAGCTTTTCTCCAGAACCCAAGCTGTCAGCACGTCATCATATCTGCAGTAAAATACTTCAATTATTACGTGACTTATTCTGTCTACCCAAGCTTAAATAATGGATGATGGTTCAGTTTTATAACTTTCTAAAACCACCAAACAGCTTAATCATTTCCTCAGGCAAGGTGACAGTCTGCTAGGTAAGATTCTGGACAGAAGCTCTCAAGAAGGCCTTCAAATGCAGTCCAGCACAGTGATGTACACGGAGTTAAAACCAAAACAGTCTCCTCCTCAGCCCAGGGCACATTAACGCCACGAAAGACAGCCCCCCCCCCAGTTCCAGCACAGCAAACACACCAGCCCAGACAGGACTACCAATGTTTTCTAGGACTGGACTCACAGCACAGAACTTGAGGGAGCTTTGGAGAGATATTTACATTGCACCCAGGCACTAGTCTGAGGTCACAAATTGTCCTGCAGTTGCAGCGAATTTCTAAAAGCAAAATGTCCAATGAAGATCCATGTCTGTGGCAGCCGGCACGGTGTAGCTTGCTTCCACCATCTCATTCAGAAATTACATTTCAATTACACTGAAAATGAATAAAAATCTGATTTGGCTTGTTTTCATTGCTAAAATGCATTCTGGGAATAAAACGCCATCACGTATCGCTCGATCAGCATCTAGTTAGCCATATTCGGCCAATAAAATACTGAAATCCTGAAAAGGGTCTCATTTCTGCGGCGAAGGCGGTCCGAAAAGCCAGAATAAACTGGCGTCTCGACTCCCACCGCAAGTTAGCGCCATTAGCAATGCAAAACCGCTCCTGGAGGTAAACATCTGAGGCGTAGCGGCCAACGGCCCTTGATGTGTAATCAAAAGAAAGTTCCAGACAGCGAACCCCCCCCCCCCCCCCCCCCCCCCCCATTCATGTGCATAACTACCGAAGCATTAAACTGGTGCTCGGCGATCAGCCACACAACGGTTCGATGCCCAGCGGCTCCTTAATTGCCTTGATGAAAAAGCGATTTCTTTCCACCAGACGGCCGTCTGGGCTACGTGGCTCGATTTCACGCGGGATGGCAGCCGCCCTGGGAGAAACGGTCTTGCTCATAAATGCTGTGAACCCAGAGCGTGCACCTTTTGACCTGAAGGACACACATGAGATTAAACTTCACAGTATTTCTACTGTGATGGTAACAGGTCAGTGCGTAAAATGCCCTGTAAAGCATTATTAGGAAATCTTTGATTATGAACAACACCTTCATTACAGCCAACATCAACAAAACTACTGCAGCCATTCGTATATTCTTAATACTTGGTTCCAATGTAGTTCACTGTAATCAAAGTAACACTACCATCTTTCCATGAGTCTAACTGCAATTAAAAGTCTGCCATGGACTGACCAACCACTCCCTCACAACCTGCACACTCCATCACACTTGTGTCTGGCAGGCTGAGCTTGACTGACAGCCTGTGAGGGGCGGGACTTCTTTTCCACCCACCAATCACTAGAGCTGGCAGGTTACACAACAGGTCTACAGGCAGGCTGTAACTGATCCATCAATCAAATGGGAGCATCTGGGAATCAGCCTCTTAAGTCTCACCAGATTAAATACTGCAACCCTTGAGCTTCTTATAGCTGCTACCAGCAGACATTATATCCATACAACCAACTTTGTTACATAAAGGAACTGCGTGTGCAGCATGTGAAAGTGGCATAAACACAGGGAGAATGTGCCCATCTGCCCCAAGAGAGACATAGTAGAGACGATACCTAAAGAATCAAAGAATTAAAGAGCTAGATACTCTGATCACTGGTATCGCCTGGTCAGAGTCTGATTAAACCTTCAGTCTTCCCCCTAGAGAAGATCAAAGAATATACAAGTTCTTCTAAAAAATAGCACACCACTGACTTCTCATCTATCTTTGACCATCAAAACACATGACTCCGTCAAGGACTATGGACCAGAAGTAATTATGGGAGCAATGTGCCATGGAAACGCCTGGTAGGTGAGGTCATGGTGTTTGGTTAGGCAGTTGGCATATCCTCCTTCCCATTGGCCACCTTCATGTCAATCTGTGACTGACAGCCTCTTTCCCCAATCACTTCTGAGGGCCGATTTTGTATCTCAGCCCCCTTCTGGGGAGTACTGACCTGTGTTTGACAGTGGCTCCACCTCCATACGGAAGTCTTCCTTGAGGTAAAGGAAGCCCACAATGGAGAAGAGGTAGACCAGGATGAGGGCCAGAACGGCCGTCAGGATGATGGAGCGACCGTTGCGTGTAACGCTCTTGATCACATTTAGGAGAGTCTCCTCCCGGTACACCAGATCAAACAGCTGGGGAGAGGGAGGGAGTCTGAGGTTAGCACAGTCAACAAACAACATGTTCTAAAGTAAAGAACATTTCTAAACTGGCAACTGCCAGGTCAACCTGACTCAAAACACTTATCTGATCCTAGACATCTCAACTATCTCTATATATTTTATGTTCTAGCACAGCGATTCTCAACCCATGGGTCGTGGCCCAAAGTTCTGAAAGGGTTGTGAGGCAGAGTTGGAAATGTACCGGTGAGCATTTTAAAACTAGCAAGCTCCTATGCTGATCCACGATCAGATTTCCCAGCCCCAATCCTAGAATTAACTTGCATAAACAGGTCTTGGGTCTGCAAATGCTTAGCAAAATTGGGTTGTGGTGCAATAAAGGTTGAGAACCAGTGTTCTAGCATATCATAACACTTGTTCAGATATTAAACTTGCTGTCACGTCCACTCTGTACATGCCATTCTGTACTCAGATCTACATTTTCTCCAAGAAAAAGTTGTCCAACAGATGATTCATTTTCATAGACAGGGAAGCGCAATGTTTAATAAAAACATTGATGTGAAAATAAAAATGTTCAGTCCCCTTGTCGGACGTGTTGTTGAATGTTTCCACGAAGCAGCGCGGTCAGGCCGGAGGCTGTCGAGAAGAGGCCGACTGGGTCTTTCTTACCAGGAAGCTGTAGAAGAATTCGTGGGCGAAGAGCCCCAGCGTGCAGACGATGATGTAGCCCACGTGGTAGAGGAACGCCATGTCCATGATCACGGCTTTGTAGCCTCGAGTGAACGTCCCACGGTTCCCGACAAAGCTCACCAGAAACACTATCTTGTTGAGCAGCTGGAGAGCGGGTAAAAAAGAACATCCTTTAAGACGTCGGTCAAGGACAGAATCCTTTTCTTTTTTAAGGCTTGTGTTTCCACCCCACACTCAGTTAAGGTTAGAGATAAGCCTTGAGGCTTTCTATTAAACCACGCATACATTTATCCGACATTATTCTTTCCTTGTTTTTCATTCAAAAGCAAAAAAAAAAAATAATAAATTATGATGTGTAGGACAATGGAGCTAAACATGTTGCCTGAAGGAATGATCTAAATGAGGAAGAAACACTCAAGGACAAAAACCTCTGATGGCCTGCTTCTGAACTTTCCAGAACTTACATTAATTTGCATGAAGATTTTATATTACTCCATTTGCATGAAGACTTTGGATATATCATCATACTACAGCACAGAGGCAAAATGACAGCAATATAGTACTTACACTAGGATACTGGGACAAAACCATCATAACGCACCAGAAGAATAATCAGGCAGCGAGGGAACATGGACATATGCAGCACTTACGTTGGCCGCTCCCAGTAGCACCAGTGTGGGTCTGAGGCCCAGAGTGTATATGGAGCGTAGGATGACGGCCACCAGGAAGGGTCTGATCCCCCCCGGCTTGGGCAAGATGAAGAGCATGACGGTGCAGACCAGCACGGCAGCCCAGAGCATTAGGGACACCAGTGGCGGGAGCTCGCCTGCAGGGACAGACACCGAGATACAGTCATCTGGGGCGTCTGCGCAGCCGGGGAGTCCCGCTTACAAAACAGGAAGCGCTACTGGACGAGAGGCACGTTCTTAAATCCACAAGTGTCCCAACCGCTCTGGGTGGATAAACTTGTTGACGTTCAGACACCAATACAGGCATGACACTCACGTGCTTTTTTGGACCTTAGTATGTTAAAAAAGGACACGGTGAAAGGCCACTCTAACTGTTGACAGGCTTCATCCAATGACATGCACTAAGAACAAAGTCCATTAAAAAGTGCAGAAACACTAGCAGAAATTTATTAGTCACAACCCAATAAGAAGCAAGTCTACAGTCAGCAGATTCACCCTGAAAGACATGTGGGCACAGGGCAGCAGCGAGGGGTTGGGTCTGGGGATGCCTTGCCTTTCGCTGGTGACCAATCAACAGCCCCGAGACCAAAGAAACCTCTGGTAGTGAGACCCACCTGACCATAATAATACTGAAAGCCATTAACCATAAGCGGGTTTGACCCGGGGCTGCCTGAGGATATTGAGTACACTTCAGCTAAAGAGTGTTAGGTGGGAGACAAGTTTTGATTTCTTATAGCATTCAGGGTCTGCTTTGCTGCTGCCTTTTAACAGAGACTTGATGCCATTTTTTGTGGATCAAGCACAGACGTGTCATTTTATGAGACTTTACATCAATAATAATGATATGTCTGCTCGATACCTTACATCCATTTTCTGGATGTTGTATTTGTGTACTTTTTGTTTACACCATGTTTACTTGTTTGCACTATGTGTACTGTCTTTGCACCTTGTCTATTTGTTCGTCTGTGCACTATGTTCTTGCTGCTGTATATAACAGAATTTCCCTCTATGGTCAATAAAGAGCATCTTAATTTTAATCCATACAGATTGAAGAACTTGCAATAAAGGGCACAGTGAAATCTTATTCAGAAAAAAGCAGTTTTGAAGGGAAGCCCCTTTCGGAAACAGATGAACTGCGAAAAGCCAGCTGAAATGGGGCTGTGCTGCATGCACGCTGCTCGGTCTGAGCACTGACGCTTCCAGAAACTACCTATAGATCAATTACCCTGAGGGGAACTGGCTAATGACAGGAGCGCGAGGGGGGAAACCATGGCAACGGGTTCTGAATCAGAGCGCGTTTTCTGCGCTCCCTGTTCCGTGATGTTAACCCGGGGAACGGCGGCACGCCGGGCAGGGCGACTTATAGAACCTCTCATCCACCATACTCGGATTCACATCAGGCATTCAAAGGACGGCCAAGGGGGCGCCATCTCTCAGGCCCCCACGTGAAGCAGAGGATGAATTCACAGAGAAGCAGTTGACCGTGAGCGTTCCCCGTGCGGTTCTCGCTAAACTCCACCTGACGCACTTCGCTACTTTCACCTCAGTTTAGCTGATCGCCCATCTACATTCAGGGGTTTTGCCAAGGCCTGAAAGCGAGAAAGAGAAGTTGCATCGAATGCAGATACTTTCACACGGCGGTTAGCTGAGTAAAGGCATAATCGGGAACAGATTTAAATCAAGGTCCCGTCTGCATGCAACAGATCTGCAGTGGTATTATTTTCCATGTAATAAAGCACCCATCCACTCCATCTAGGGATGACATCTTAAAAGAGAGTGACTTACCCTTCCATGTAAAAATCAGTCAGGTAAATCAGGTAAAGGAATCCTGTTTTCAGAATTGGAGATTTCAGTCTTCTAGCTAAAAACTTTATTTCAATTCAAAGAGTAGGTAACAGACCTGGACTAATGAAGTTACTTAAAGTAAAAAATACTACAAAGATGCATGTTCCTTTAGACATTAAAACAAATAAACTTCATAATATTTTTATTCATTACCAAAAGTTGGCGGACAGTTATTTTTTAGCATTCTATTTTGGATGTTTCTTTTGCTGCAGTAACAGGAACAGCACACACACAGCATGCGATGTCCCCACCTAGACTGACAACGTACAAGTTTGTGTGGAGACACGACGGTCATTGCAGTGTGGCAAGCGGAGGAGATACTGTTTCAGCAGGCCGTGATCATGTGACCAGAGGCAGGTGCGCCCGCGGCAACGGAGCATGGCGAGTACACCTGCCGACTGCTGCGGGCCGTCGCGCGATGAGGAACAGCCGCCTCTCTCACTTCCTCCTCAGACTATTTGAGGCCAAAGCGGATTTAAAATCTGAACCGGTCTCCTGCTTTCTTCCATTTTTAGTGCCACACATGTCACCCTGTCGTTAGCGGAGTTTTTAAGGCAATTCAGCTAACAATCCAGGAAATCTAAATACATTTGTTTAGCTCATATCGTGCCTTCATGGGTAGACTGAATTGCAAGCAAATAAAAATTATACAAAACTACAAACAAAAAGTCACTATTTAAATATCTTTCTCATCCTCAGTAGTTAACATCTGCCCGAACACCACTGAAACACCACCACTGCGGTGTCCTTCGGACCCTATATAGCACTACAGAGTACTCATTTCCCTCCATTGAGCGCTCAGACTAACCTTCATCGTTGTCGTCTCCGAAGGGGTAGAAAAGGGCTACGGCGAGGTTGACCAGCACGGCCAGGTTGAAGGAGATGCTGCCCCAAAGGGACATATGGCGTGAGAACCAGAACAGGCCCGGGTTGTCTGTGGGAGAGACGCCGGCATCTGTCAGCATTATCCTGGGCGTGAAATCATTTCAGCATTAAGACATAGCAAGGCTACTTCAAATCTATCAGTAAGGGCTTATATTACACAGAACACAATGACATTAAAGGATAGAGGTGGAGAGTTCAGGTGTCCAGACCAAGATTTTGTCTTGAAACAAAATCTTGTACTGGATTTTTACTTTCTGGACCTGAACTATCGACCTTTGCTAACTTAAATATGTAATTGTGAGAATAACTTAGCCTTTCGTAAGTCATAATTACAAATAGATATTTAACATTATACAAACAAGTAGGAATGCATCAATACCATATTTTTCAGACTGAGTACAAGTACTGATGCTTACCAAAGGGCCAAGCAAGAGCGGGAGTACTTATAGACCAGACACAGGCAAATGACATCCTGCTCAGAATCGTCCCCAACCCACGTTGCTATGATTACCACAGCCTCCCTCTTCATGCTTAAAAAAAGCACCTTTAGCTTAATGATTTTTTTCTCTTAAAGCACTATTTCACTTTCTGTCCCTTTTGAGTCAATAGAGCGTTGGCGACTTTTATGTACTAGACACCGAAGCTGTCGGTGACCATTAACCTGCCTAAACTGGATGGTATGCAGGTCCAGTTTTAATAATCAGTAAAAATTAACTAAGTCGGGTTTTTTTCCATAAAGCAGCTTAAAACCGGCTAAATTAATAAAACAATGGCTAAAAGAATACACACTATATCAGGGGTGTCAAACTCCAGTCTTGGGGGGCTGAAGGCCTGTGTAGCTCAGTTCTTTCAATGTTCCACCACAAATGAATCAGCTCCTGAGCTGTGTGGTAATTAGCACGAGGAGTTGAATCAAGTGTGTTAAATGAGGGGAAAACCAAAAGTGAGCAGGGCTCCGGCCCCCCAGGACTGGAGATTGACACTCCTGCACCATATGGGCAAAAGTACTGGGACACCTGGCCATTACACCTACAGGACCTTTTATGACATCCCATTCTAAATGCATATGCATCACTATGGAGGTGCCCCCCCCTTTTGCAGCTGTAACTGCCACTCTTCTAGTAAAGGCTTTCCACAAGATCTCAGAGTGTGTCTATGGGAATTTTTGCCCATTCCCCCAGAAGAGCATTTGTGAGGTTAGACACTGATGTTGGAAGTGAAGGCCTGGCTCACAATCTCCATTCTAGTTCATCCCAAAGGTGTTTGATGGGATTGAGGTCAGGGCTCTGTGTGGACCAGCCAAGTTCTTCCACACCAAACTCACCCAACCATGTCTTTATGGACTTTGCACTGTGCACTGGGGCACAGTCATGCTGGAACACAAAAGGGCCTTCCCCAAACTATTCCCACAAAGCATGGAATAGTGAAAAATGTCTTGGTATGCTGAAGCATTAAGAGTTACCTTCACTGAAACTAAGGGGCCAAACCCAACCCCTGAAAAACAACCCCATACCATAATCCCCCCTCCACCACACTTTACAGTTGGCACAATGCAGTCAGGCAGGTAACGTTCTCCTGGCATCCGCCAAACCCAGACTGATCCATCAGACTGCCAGACAGAGAAGTGTGATTCGTCACTCCACAGAACACGTTTCCACTGCTCCAGAGCCCAGTGGCGGCCTGCTTTACACCACTCCATCTGACGCTTGGCATTGCGCTTGGTGATGTGAGGTCTGCATGCAGCTGAGTTTTGTGCTGGGGTTAATGCTGGAGGAAGTTTGGAACTCTGCAGTCACTGAGTCAATAGAGTGTTGGCGACTTTTACGCACTATACGCCTCAGCTGTCGGTGACCACGTTCTGTTACTTTCCGTGGTCTGCCACTTTGTACATGTGACTATGGAATATCTAGCACAGAAGAAATTTGATTAACTGCCTTAATGCAAAGGTGGCATCCTATGACAGCACCATTCTTCAATGCACTGAGCTCTTCAGAACGACGCATTCTTTCACAAATCTGTGTAAACCTGACTGAATGGCTAGATGCTTTCTACACTTGTTGCAATGGGTCTGAATGAAACACGTGACTTCAATTATTAAGAGTTGTGTCCCGATACTTTTGTCCAAATAGTGTATATATATTCATGTTAGATACGTTGATGGTTTTAAAATAAATAAAGCTCACATCGGTGCATGTAGTTATAAACTTTAGTTTCAGTGTCTCCAAAAATGGTCTCAAAATGCGACTAAATGGTTGCAATCTGAAGTCCTGTATATATATATGGTCTGATCAAAAGAGATGCTAGAGCATCCCACAAAATCATCAAACAAGTGACCAGGAACCCTTTGGTGAAAGCTAATCTGCACGCCGTGCATTTCATGACATCCCTGAGTCATAAGACATACCGGAGTCAAAAGAAAGACACAGAACAACATCAACATCAGATCACCAGAGAAAACCACTGCTCTTTCTCTTAAAAAAAAAAATAAGCAAACGTTTCTGTCCATGTGAAGTTTGGTAAAAGCCGCCTGGATGGAACAATGTTTTCAATGCAAAGATAAAACTGAAGTTGAACTTTGTTTTCAATGTACACAGTTTGAAGGAAAACAAAAAAACAGCGTATACTGTACCAACACCAAAACCTAATGACAACTGTGATGCATGACGGATGGCACATAATGTTGTGCTGTTGCTTTGTTGCCTTAAGGCCTGAATGACACTAAATCATTAACAGAACAATGTATCAGGCAGAATATCAGGGCATCTATCTGTGGTCTAAAACAGTAATTTGGGCCATACAACAAGATCCCATATACAAAAGAAAAACCAACAACAGAGTGGCTCAAGGAGAAGAAATGTTTTAAAATGGCCAAGGTAGAGTCCTGACCTCAGCCCAATTGAAATTCTGTGGCATGATCAGTAAGGCGTTCAAGACATACCAAAAATATAAATGAACCGAAACAGATTTGTATGGAGGGACAGGTCAAAATACCTCCAAAATGCTGAAAAGGTCTGACCAGCACCTACAGTGTCTGGTTAAGGTCATCGCCAATACAGAAAGTTCCACCACTTGCTAAATATAGGAGTTCACTCTTCATTGTCGACTTTCCTTCAGGTTTCAGATAGTTCTAAAGGGTATGCAAACCTTTTCCCACCTGTAGTTAACTAGGGAGCTTGGTCAGGAATAAGAAAATCAAAAATAACTGGGGTCATGAAGAGTCACACTGATTCACCAACTGCCTGAACCTCAGGAACCGGGGTAAGGCTGATCCTGGGGTCTAACGATACCCGTGGCGGCTTAAACAGCACTACAGAGGCCATAATGAACAAACTAAGGTGAAGAATTTCACACACTTCCTTAGTGTAATGTGAATCAGTTCCTTCCAGAGTCTGAGAAACGCCTCAGAAACCGCTAACCGTTATTGTTCGGCAAATGGACAGGCAAAGCCTTACTGCGGATTTTCTTCTGCCACTTCATCTCATTGTAGAGGTCCTCGAACTGCTGGAAGAAGTGGTTGACCTTGCTGCCCTGGTCGTCCCGCTCGGTGGTGCAGAAGACCCGCGTCTTGGACTCCTCAGTCAAGTACTCGCATATGTTGGGCACGGGGAAGACGATCTGTTCCATGGTGCGGTCGTGCCGGACGATCTGCGCCATGGTGAAAGGCCATATTAGTGAAGCGTGCTTCATCTCATTTACCTGAGTATGTTCTATTTTTCTCCTAAATTTCAAAGAATAACAATTTTTAATTTTGACATCTGACACCAGACAGTTGGCTTCCAGCTGAGGAAAATAAAACCCAAGGTCAAAAAAAGTAGTGCTTTGTCTACCATCAAGAAGGTCCACTGAGTACTGGGTTTAAAACACCAGCAAGTATGCCGGGAAATGGAAAGATCTGTCTCAGCTATTTGCAGCTAATTCAGTGCGCCTCAACACTACATTAGACAAATTAAAAAAGGTTCCCAGTTAAATAAGTTTTAAAAGTAGCTTAACATCAAAAAAACCTACCTGTGGAAGCTGTAGTGACATTTTATTAGATTTCTTTTACTGCAGTAACAGGAACAACACCCACACATTATGCAATGTCCCCAACCAGACCAACAACGCACATTCACATGCAATGTGCAAAATTAAAACAAACTAAATGCTATCAGAATGACAATGATGTATGCCCCAGACGGCCCAGTCACCCCTCCGTCCCCTAATCTAATCCCTACTCCTCCCACACCCCCCAACCTCTACTCTCCCCAACACACCTTCTTTATTAAAAGCCAGAATTTATGTGAAACGTCAAAGACATCAGGTTTGCCAGATCTGCATCTGTGGCTATACTTCCATGTGTCATCACTTAGAGGCGCTGCTTTAATTTTTCATGCTGCTAATCTCAAATTATGAAAACACATAATGTGAAATGTGAAATGGTAATCCACCAAATACTTTTTGAATGATCATATTATAGAGATGAAGTGTATGAGATTGGCTTTCTGTTTGGTATCACTATGGGGCACTGATTCAGTTTTTTGTGAGTTGTTTCAGAATTTGATCACTTCCAGATCTTCACTCATACAATGTGTCTGCAAAGTTTGAAAAAGACCCATCAAGTACTTCTTGAGTTATTGCGCTAAATCCAAATGTATTCCCCATCCAGGGAATATAATGGTAGAAGATGACAAACGAAAACAGACAACAAGAACAACAACAAATGACAAATACAAATGACAGACAGCTCCCACCTTCAGTATACAATACTGTGCCAAGAAAGGCAAAGAAAATGTTTAAAGATATTTATTTCAGTGTCGTTTGTAAGTTTATATTTGCTCAGAAAGAAAGCACAGTTTGACATTAGTACAGTGATCCCTCAGTTCTCGAACTCATTAGAACTCGAATTTCTTAAAAGTCGAACCAACCAGTTCGAAAAAAATAATATCTAGAGCTCGATCTGAATCTCAGAAGTCAAACCGTGAACGCCGACCTAAGATAACTTGTACGCGCTGGGAAGTGGGTCACGCGGCACATCTCTCAGCGGAAACAAAGGGTAACGCTTCAGTCTCAGCCTCGCATTCGCTGTGATAGCACCGTGCATGTTTACACTAATTGAATACATATATTTGGAAAGTAAAAATACATTTAGACAATGATAGACAGTAACAGTAATTATTATTATATAATAAAATACATTTAAAAATAAAGATTTCTTATTCATAATTTTAATATTAATAATAAAGCATTAATATGTTTAATCATAATAATATTGTTGTGCCGAGCTGGACGGAATGTAGACAAAGGCGCAGACGTCAGGGTATCGGGGAATACGGGGTTTAATTACAGGTAAGGCAGGCAAAACGCAGACGGACAATACAATGACCAGACTGGGGAAACAAACTGAAACGCGGACTAAATACTGAGGACTAAAGACAACAACCAGAAACAGCTGATCACACGGGGATTCCACATGGGGTTAACGAGGGGGCGTGGCACACGGAAGGAGCGGACAGTCGGGGCAGGACACATTGTTTGGATACATTTATTTTCTTACTTTACAAATTACTGTTTTGATAAATGTCCTTAGATGTGTTTAGTACAGTATATGCTCTTCTTGTTTTATCCGGTTCATTTTGTGTATAAATGCTAAACAAAAAAAAAAACATATTTAGGTGTAATTTTTTGGGGCCGGGAACCAATTAATTGGTTTTCCATAATTTCTTATGGGGAAAATTTGATCACAACTCAAACTTTTCAGGATTCGATCTGGAGTTCTGAACAGATTAAATTCGAGTTCTGAGGTACCACTGTACATCTGCAAATTAACAGGAACAATAAAAACTAACAACAATTTCTTCCATCTTCCTGAAAGTTAGCTTTAGTTCCCAAACCTCTATTCAGATGCACTCCAGCCATTCCAAGTATTCATTAAATTTCACCATATGCTCAATTAACTAACTTAATTAGTTGAATAACTCAATGATGGATTGATTAGCCAAACAAGGTGAGGTAGTGCTCAAGTAAGAAACCTTACATGGGTGTACTGGACGGTTGCTGCAAATACTAGGATGACTTTAGTAGAGGTTTTGAAAAGACTAAGCTGACAAACTTTGACAGACATTTAAGCATCATTTTCTTTGAATGCCAATATCAATGGACAACAATTTTTTGAGGACCTTAGAAGACATCTTAGGCGCCATGTGATATATTATATGACAGCATGTTAAAAAAAGTGGCATTTCTGAGTATAGCCTACTTCAATCTGGGCGGTGTGGTTGGCATAGTACGTCAATGCCTCATCCCCGTCGGAGTCAGGGTCCTGTCTGGGCTTCAGGCTTTGCTGAAGAGCTTTGTTGTGCCGGGCCAGCTAAGGGAGGGGAAACACAAAGTACTATTGTTTAAAAAATGTAATGAAATAAATACAGCTGTAGGGTACCACTGGCGCACTGACCCTAGGCATTACCATGGAAACCATTCACAGCATAAGACATGTACAGCCGCTTCACAGTGCAACCATAGATGCGGAAGTCAGCAGGGTACCAAGCCAGCTGCCCATGACAGACATTCGACGCGCCGAATGCTTTTTCTGAGGGAAAACCTAAAAAAATGTTCCAAATGTGACACTATGGACAAATCCACCCCACCCTCCTGGCGCAGTGAATGTTATATTTGTACATGGATCTGGACACACTATGCAGTGAACAAGGATGCAAATAAGCATGTTACACATGAGGTCCAGGGGTCAGTCAAGGACCATTCTATTACAATAATTATAAATACCACTCTCATATTTATCTAGCTATGGCAATATTTACATAGTGGCAGTGCATTCCTGGTTTGCTGCTGCAGATAACCAGGATGAACAGCCATGCTGACTAATCGCTTAACTGTACAGTTACACAAGTCCCTACTGATATAACCACAAGCTAACCTGTGCTTAGACGCTTGAGAATGCGAAGGTGATATGGAAGAACTGAATCTTTGTTCCAGCTACAGTATGTGGTCATGCAGGCGGTCATGTGACCCGAGAAATTCACCCGTAATACCCGCCAAAATACCCTTCACTTCAAATATCCCTGTGAGCCAGGATCCCAGATATTTAATCTGGAGAGATACAATCTGGGCTCTGACAGTTTCGCTTTATACTCCTGAGTAATATATTATTAGGGTACTGACACCTGGGGTTGAGTGAGTCACCAGCATTCCTGACAAGCAAATAAGATGCCATCTCAGGACATTTCATATTTTTACATATCCATACTATACCATTATCCAGTCTATATTGCAATCTGCATCACCACTTTCCTAATTAGAACCTCAGTAATCCTGAAGGTTACACCATAAAAGCACCCACTCGTACACTCACGCCTGAACAAGACGCGCGTGGGAGGAAAATTCCCCGGAGGACGGCTATGCAGACGCGGGGAGAGGCTTCGAAACCTGAAGGCAGGACCCGGATGCGACTACAGGCACGGTTCTGCGAGATGACAGGGCTACACACTGAGCTAGCGTGCCAGCCACAGACTAAAATTGGCCCTTAACGAAATGTCCGAAAAAGACATTCTTTGTTGGGCTATTTTAAAAACAAATGTGCGTTTTTTTTTTTCTCTCAAAGATATTATCACGTTATCCTCCGGGGAATCAGTACTTAACACAGCATCACACCCTGAGCTGCAGTTCAGACCGCAGTTTTATATCACCTTGGAAACACCCGAATCCTGCAGCTCTATTTCTGGAGGCCCACCAGGTCGCCATATCTTGCCAGAGTAACCAGAGCTGGTCAGACAGGGCATCTGCAGCATGTGATGCATTTCTTTGGTTTTCGGAAACTTTTTTTTTTTTTTTTTTTTTATTTAATCTTTAGCCTCAATCACCAGGGGAGATATTGCATCAGACGGACAAGAGGTTTCCTGTCTGACCCGTCTGACTCAGGGAGGGGAAAAAACAGCAGGCTGGAACAGGTCCAGGTTTTCACCAGGGAGTCGTTTGGAGGGAAAGCTGTCGGGCCACTCCGCCGTGCATGCGAGCGTGAGCCAATTACCGACAGAGCTGCAGGGAACGAGGGGGGGTTGGGGCATAGACCAGGCCTTGGCACTCAGAAAAGCAGTCACGGACCCAGCCATGGGGGGGGGGGGGGGGGGGGGGGACCATGCTCGATACATCGTTCTAGCATTAAAACCACCTCTCGTTTTGTCCGCGCTATGGTGGTTAAACTTCACCCGGCGATAAATAAGCGGCGAATTCCGCAGTGGCGCTCATCTCACGGCACACCGAGTACGAACGGCGATATCGCTGCCAATCATGGACGGATAGACTCGCTACTTAACAAGAGGATCCCCCCTCCCACACACACACACACACACTCGTCTAACACTCTTCGGCGAGGAACTGGAAAAGTACCAAATAAGTACTCAAGTCGAGGAAAAAAAACTAAACGTTTTTTTCATGAGGAAAAAAAAAAACAAAAAAGTGAAGGAAAAAGGCCTATTACTCGGTACTTGACCTCTGTCACAACAAACAGGGTTTGCCTGACAAAGCAGGAGGCTTACAAGAATGCCTCTCCTTGCTGGTAAACCAGACCACAGGAAAGGGGGAGGGGGCTGTATTTGTGCATCACACCACTTCTGAACCAAATAAATAAAGTAAGCCGCAGCCACCCTGCGACGCCATCATGCACCACATCTGTTTGGGAGGTGAAAGTGCGCGCCTGCTGACGCTGTGGTCTGAACTTGGAGAATAAAGAACCTGAAACCTGCCATCTTTTTACAAAGAAGACAAATAAGATCGAGAATCTCGCCCATAGTCGGAAAGCTCTCCGATGTGCGCTTCCGCTAAAAGCAGCAGGGAACCAGGGTGCCAACAGGAAGATCACCATCCCTAAGGATATAATGCTGAAATAAGTGCTTCTTGGGCCTTTCAACATGCCGACTTATTTTCATCCTCATTTGTGTCACTCAGTGATGTACAGCGGATGGTGGATCAGGGACCCTAACCATAACCCTAACCCTAACCCTCTACTGGGGATTAATCTGCTGAACCTCTGGTCCCCTTACTAGCCAATGCTGTAGCACTCTTCCATATGTCATAGATTTTTTTTTTTCCCCCATCCCTTACAGAAAGTGGTGTCTCCAGAGAGAATTCCTAAATGGCTGGCCAGACGATAAAAGATCTGTTTTTGAAATGCCACACAACAGCAGTACCTTCTTGCGCTGATTTAATCCATGCCAAGATTAGCATGGCATTAATGGAAGATGGAAGACGAAGGCTCACCTGGTGGGCCAGGATGTAGATGTTGTGGCCGACGTCTCTGGGCAGGATCTGGTCACCGCCAGCCTCATTGTCAGCTTCGCTCTCCACACCCTGGCTGTAGGCCTCCTTCATGACGTCCACCTGAGAGACAGACAACGTGAGGGCTGCTTCAAACAGGCCCACAGCCCCATGGTTACACGCTAAAGGGGTTCCCACCAGTTCGATGGGCCTCATCTTGTCCAGGATCTTCTCCGCGTTCTCGCTGTCTTGGCGACTTTCCATGATGGCCAGCAGTAGCTTGGACGCGTTGTTCTGAGCAGAGAGATGGGAGACGGATACGTTTAGAGAAAAGCAGTTGCACCCGTGAGCCATTATCATCAAACCGCATCTGTAACAGTATAAGAAAAGACAGAACTAAGTCTATCTTCCATGCTTCCAGACTTACCTGATCATGCTGACCATGTCACTAGAAATCTGTGGGTATTTGTACAAACATGCGGAACACACACACACACACACACACACACACACACACACACACACTACCTTCAGTTCCATCACCAAGTCAATGCGTTGCTTCCCCAGTGGGTTGATGGGATTCACAATGAGGGCAATGATGATGTCGATTCCGTTGGACTCGTGCTTGGCTATACAGGTCTGAGGGGTTGAGAGGAAACTGATTATGGCATGAATGGCAGTGATGCCAACTCCGGTTAGCCGGCTGGCATAACCCTAACCCTAACCCTAACCCTAACTCATTTACATGTATGTAACAGTTTTATTACCCTGTAGATAGTCTGTGTGGTTTGCAAACTACCCCAACGCTTTTAATGTAGTTACTTGTAGATTTATAATGGAATAATATAGATTTGCCGTAAGATTTTGTTGCGTGTGCGTGAGAGTCAGAAAGTATGAGTGTTACACCGGATGTGTGAAAGCTGGCAACCCCAGAAAGGTCTGAAGAAGATAAAGTGAAAGACTTTCATGGGGGTGTTACTTTGGGCCTGTTTAGGTCAGAGCTAATATCAGCTGCACTAACTGAAGTGTTTATTACTACATTCCCAGTCATTTCTCTATGTTGACCGACGGGACAGGCTTGGCTAAGCGAAGCACCTGGTTCTCATGGCAGGGGCCTTGGCAGTACTCGGTGATGGTCTCCAGGGTCTGCTTCACCAGGCCCACGTTCCTCTCGTTGATGTAGAGGCCCAGCAAGCCCAGGCCCCCCGTGGTGCTGCCACAGATGCAGTCCAGGAACTGCAGCGTCTCGCACACTAGGTTGTAGTTGGTCTTGTTGTTTTGGTTGCGCAGATAGTCCTATGTCGGGAAGGGGGCGACACAACACAGGGGGTGAATCTCAATATGCGTACTGACCGTCCTTGTGTTCTCGTGTACCCAATTTAATGTGATCTTCCATTGCTGATGACCGGTTCCAGTACTCAAGGAGAACAGAGGACGGTAGAAATCCATGGATGTTTATGTTACTCCCCGCAAATATCAAGGTTGGTATATATGGTTGCATCTTCGTCGAACGAGACCAACCCCAAAATTCACTGCGCCCCAAGTTCATTCTTAGAAGGTAAGTTAGTAAGATCTTTGCGTTCTTGGTATCGCGGTTCCCCCACGATCTAGGTGACGACGCAGTTCTGTTGCGCGACTACGGCGCATTGCAGCTCTGCTGCCCTTACCTGCAGGTCCCTGTTGTGGTTCTCGCACAGCAGCTGCAGGAACCGCAGAAGAGGCTTCATGACCACGATGGCCGGGCTCATCAGCGTGTCCTCCATGAGCTCCTCCCCCACGTCGCTGCCGGCGCCGTTAGAGTCCCCGTCCGTGTCGATCTCCTTACGGATGGTGCAGAAGGCCTTGGAGGTTGCTGAGGAGGCCTCTTTGAGCTGGCCCCTCATGTCAACCTTCAGGTGTCGGACGGAATCCTTCCCTGCAGACCAATCCAACAGAGGCAGATTCCAGATTCTGGCAAGGGCAAGAATGGCAACTACTCGTGGGCAGCATCTTCTGAGGAGGCCATGGGTGCCAAACTGCCCTCCCTGATTGATAACTTTTACCAGCAGCTTGGGGGGGGGGGGCATGGGGGTTGCCAGCAGTTGGCTCAGATTTCACCAATAGCATCAAGTGTACCAGGATCATCACTGCAACCCAATGGTTTTAGCATCACAAATGCAAATATTTAAATGTTCATGTCTGGCCTTGAGTTTCACGTCTGCTAAGAAAGGTGATGGATTTTACCAGCAGGTATAAATTATACGCAGGTTAACTCCCTGAAGGGTATTTCAGAGTCACACTGCGGAAACGGGCCTCTTTTAGACTCAGGATGACATGTGTAGCTAGGCCTGCCTTATCACAATCAGTCATGTGACAGGAAGAGACCTGGGTTCTTCTGCCTGGTGGAGGTGGTCTCCCCGTCCTCATCCCGCTTCCTGCTGCTCAACTCAAACATGTTGACGGAGACAGTGGAGCGGATCTCCTGCTGTGCCAAAGTCATGCGGTCGTACAGAACTCTGAAGAATGTCTCCGACTTCTTCTGCTTGTGAAGCTGACGGTGGAAGGAATTCTGCAGAGGTGGAGGACGATCAGAAATGGCAGAGGGATGATGATGTCATTCACAAATTGCCTGCACGCTACTGTGCGAATGTATTTCTGACTCGACCGCTACCCCACCTCGTTAGGCTAATCAATATCCCATTTAAACTTATTTAATTAATGAAGTTAATTAATTAATTGAGCTGGTGGTGAAATGTAAAGAATGCGTGGAATGGCTGGGGTGCCCCTGAGGAGAGGTTTGGGAGCCAAAGCGGTGTTCATCTAGCCATCCAACTAAACATCAGGAACTTTCTGGAGAATAGGAGAAATTCTGGTTTATTTTTTTATCGTGTTACTGTTCATTCGCATACGTTCTAATTGTAATGTTAAATTGTGTTTTTTTTTCCCTGAGAAAATATACACTTACTGTCCAGATAAATAGCCTGAAACATTTCCTTTGACTGGCTACGACTTTTGCACAGTACTCTTTGTCCAGCCTGCTGCCCGCAGCAGCGACAGAGGTGGGAGTTCGGTTACCCCGGGCCGGGGGGGACGGGTGGGGGGGGGGGGGGGGGGGGGGGGGAGAGGTAGAGGAGCAGCCTGCCTGTATTTGTGTGTTTCCTCCTCGCAGCAGCGCGATGCCCAGCCAGATGCTCTCCTCAAAGACCCTGTCGTTCTTCGTGCTGACGATAAGGTCAATCACCAGCTCCGGAACCCCCACACTGTCCAGCAGGCACTGGATGTCCATCATGCACGAGCCGGACCTGTCACAGTCCGGCTGGGGGGACGATCCTGCGGGCCACAAAGCTAACGCTAGCAGATCTCTTTGGGCTTTAAGAGCAGCTCGGGTTTATGTCCAAGGACACATTTAGCGATGGACGTGACGACACAGTAATAGTGTGTCTCTACAGCTTCTGAGTTCATAGTTCATCATCCATTAAGAAGAAACACTGATTAATAAAAAAAAGGACAGATAAAGTGAAGGAAACACATGAGCTGCAATGGGCTGAGCATCACTCATGACTGACCTCAGATCAGCTATAACACACAACATCCTAAAAATGTTTGCCTAACCCCTGATGTGGATTTAGGAAACCTACCGGAAGAGCCGCTCCCGCCCCCGAAGTCTGATTTGGAGACGAGCCGCTGATTTCCGAAGTAGCGCATTAAGAGGATCTTACGTAAATTAGTGCCCTGTTTCGGAAATAAAGAAACAAGATCAATGAGTGCAAAGTGTCGTCCACGCATAGCATCTGAAAGCCACGCAACACTTACTGTAGGTATGAGATCACACTACACACGCTCAGAGAAAGAATGACTGGATGGATATTTCATTTACACCCTCAGATGTATCACTATTGTCAAGCTGAATGTGCAGAGACACATCAGGCTGGTAAGAGTTCAGATTCTGTGCCTATGTTTGGGAGGTCACTGGTTTGAATCCCGTGGTGTGCACAGTAATCCTATCACTGCTGGGCCTTCGAGCAAGGTTCGCGACCCGAAAAATGACTGACCCGGTGCTCTGACCGGAAGCATGCATGTGTCTCATAGGAGAGCAAGATGGGATATGTGAAAGAATCTCTATATACTTCAGATTGTATGATGGTGAATCATCATCATTACAAACTGCTGACTGATTTTATTCTTCTGAGTAAAATATGTAGATTTTGCACAAAGGTAGGTAGGTGTCTTGATTAACTGAAGCACATTTATAAAAGTCATTTAACTAGGTAAAAGTGTACCAAGTTACCAATAAGCATCCAGTTTCGGAAATTGGCCTAAATGAAATCAGGTTGTATCCCACCAAAATAACTCGGTTCTTGAAATAAATAAAAAAGAAAAGAAAACAAGCAGCTGGACATTAAATAAGATGCCCCGTTTCCTGCATTTTTGAAACGTGGGAAAGCGTACAAAGGAGGGCTGGCGGGGGGCACACAGCATGGACAGGGGGGGCAGCTGCAACACATCCCGTCTGTGCCCCATCCCCGATCCAGGGGGCGGGGCAAGGCCACAGACTCCGGGAGGATCGAACACCCCGAGACCCCGCACTCCCGCCGACTCCACGCAGGCCACGGTTACCTAACGTGGAAATGGGCCGCCGCAGGTCTGCCCGTTTCCGCGGCGACGGGAACAAAACAGATCATAGCGACAGGCCAGGTTCCAGTTAATGTGCACGGCTGCCTACTTCAGAGGGAAAAAATTCAAATTCAGTGCAATACAGAAGCAAACAGCAGAAGCTTTTCTTATTTAAGAAATATTACCTGTGACCAAAAGTAACTTCTACAGCATGAAAATCAAAACCAGGGCAAACGAATAAGCTAAGTAACTCTCATCAAATAAGCTAGAACACACCAACACTAAAACACATACAGCAGGATGTCCCTGGAAAAGTGTGAGGACATCAGCCTCCAGTAAGTGACCATGACAGGCCAAGCGAGTATGAGAAATAAAGCGTGAAACCAACACCATGGCGGCAGTGGGGAGCCGTCAGGAAGGGGAAGTCGGCACAGGTGACCGGCACAGGTGACCGGCACAGGCCGCACAGATGCACCACGGGAAAATGCAGCAAGGCGTCGTTCTAGTTAAGCGGACGTTAGGTAGACTGCGGTAGCCAGGGCCGCACTGCCCCCCTGCGCCTGGGTCAAAAACATATCCACTGCAAGGATGGGAAAGTGGATTGGGGGGGGTGGGCTCTATGTGAAAGAAGGGGACCAGGATGAGATGACATTTTTGTTTTTGTTTTTTAACATTTTGTGTGGATGGCCAAGATCATGGCATTAACAGGCCAGTGGATGTTTTGTGTGGTGAAGAAAACGGCATCAGATAAGGCTGTCGAATAATCAGACTGAATAAATCGGGCACAGGAGGACGACTAACAGGTTAATGAATAACAGCACACACTGACGATCAGCTTCCTGCCTGACCTAGTGTACATTTTTGGCCCAAGATGCTTCCTGCTTTATTCGACAAAAATTATATAATATAACTGGCATCCCTGCCTGGATGTCCTCTGCCTTCTTCCCTGTGATTGCCGGGACATGAGCCAGGCTCCCCATCACCCCGTAAGAAATAAGCAGCTAGTACTAGTACATACACACACACACACACACACACACACACACACGCACACACGCACACACGCACGCACGCACGCACGCACGCACGCACGCACACGCACATGTAGGGTAAACATATCCTTATGGGGACCGCTCATTCATTTCAATGGGAAAAATGCTAACGCTAACTTTGACAACCTTAACCCCCACCCTGCCCTCACCATAAGCATTTTTAGATTTTTCATAGCAGTTACCGATTTTTGACCAGGAAACCGGTCCCCATAAGGGAAAAAAAACGGATATTTATCACGTTACGGGAATATTATGTCCCCATAAGGATAGGTAAACCCGCTCACGCACGCACGCGCACGCACACACACACATACCATAGTCATATCATATCATAGTCATATCTTTGTGGGGACTCTCCATTAATTTCTATGGACATACCCTTAATCCCAACAACGACAACCTTAACCCCTATCCAGGCTTAACCTTAACCATAACAAACCAAACAAAACAACTTTTGGAATTTTCAGTTTTTTAGCGATCTTTATGAAACTGACGTAAGGAAGGCACAAAGGAACAGGTTTTTATGTTTTTTTTTTTTTATATATGTGTATATAAAACAACCCCCGCCACACACACAAATCATAGTCATACCTTTGTGGGGACTCTCCATTCACACACACACACACACACACACACACACACACACTGTACACTTTGCTACACAAGTGCAGTTGGTTCTGAAAACCATTTCAATAGCACAAATTTGGATATCGAGAAGCCATTTCCATTATTTCTTATGGATAAAACCACAATTTGTTCCAGGTCCATCCAAGAAATCTCAATTAATCTCCCCAAAAGAGCCATTGTAATGCTTATCCAAACAGTAACTAAACCTCTTGACCCCCCCCGTCCCCCCCCCACGTACTGCATGTATTCAATTACAGCCACGTGATTCGCTGTTTGGAGGAGCAAGCTGCATGCTTCAATAAGCACGTGTGCCTCATGTGTCCGCTGAGCGTGTACATAAAGCCAACACGGGCGCTCACGTGTCGCACGCCGTCCCCTGCAGGTCCCTCACCCCCCCCCCCCCCCCCGTAAACGGCGAGTCCGGCATGACATACAGAGAGGGCAGGGGGGGGGAGAAGGACGAGCTCAGACGGGCCTACAGTGCATCCCAAAAGGGCGCCTCTGGTGGCTCAGGTGGGTCATAGCCACTACTCTGCTATCAGCGGTCATGTGTTCAGAATGACTAGTTAGATCGATTTTATCCTAGAAGCGTTTTTGGATAATATTGTCATTTCTGGTCAGAAAAAAGTGCATGCATAAGGCACCACAATATCATAACTGTTTATCCGATACAGGGTGACAGTCAGCCTGGAAGCCCTGCCAAGATCAATCGGGCAAAATGTAGGAGACACACTGCATAGCATAATAATAATTATAAATAATAATAATAATAATAACCAGACCATGTCCTGGCCAGTAACCTCAGCAACTTTGGACACAGGGGTCTATGCAACAGCATGGCGGGGCTGGTGGGCCGCTAGTTTCATGGTTATCCTTAGACGCTGTGCCAATCATACCCAGAATTCATCAGCCACTGGTGGGGGGTGCAGTGGTGTGTGTCTGTGTGTGTGAGAGAGAGAGAGAGAGAGACACACACACACACAAGGTCAAAACAACAGATGTTTATCACATTGTGGGGACCCCACACACACACACACACACACACACATACACACACATTTCAGCTCTGTGGATCTCCACTCTCCAGCTCCCAGTTAGAGCCCCCCCCCCCTCCTACCCTGCCTGGGGGGAGCTCGGTGTCCCCAGACAAACTGTACAGCATCCCCCACGGCTCCCTGTCACCCCAGAACGGCCGAAGGGGCCCAACGTGACAGCAGATCAGGCAGGAAGACGTCTTTTACCCCAAACCGCACTGCCAAATGCCTCCGGGGGCTGGAAAGACAAACCCTTACAACCTCAAAACGAGGCACTCATCCCCCAAAACAGGACCTGCAGCAAAACCAATCAATGTCGCATGTGGGAGCATCCGATGAGATTACCCAGCCAATCCGATACCAGCGGGGATGACTGAGCATCTTCTGAGCCTCAGGCCTGCTGTCCTCCCTCCTGCACTGAATGCTGAGCTTAAAAATCCGGGATCCCAATTTCACGATCAGTCAACCTGGTCAAATCCAGACACAAGCTACTTGTGTGAACATCCACACACACACACACACACACACACACACACACACGTCAGCATGGCAACACAATTTGAGCAGTGTGCTGGACAGTCCCCCCCCCCCTCCGCTCTGCAGGCAGGCGACTCCCTCGTGACCCACGAGGACCCAACATGCTGAATTTTCTTCTTGGCGCAAAAATAAATCACCCCCGAATAAACGTACCAGGGCATGTTTCTGTTGCTATATAAACCAAACTCATGCTTTATAAATAGTGAGCCTTATGTCCTTTTAACTGCGGACACTGTTGCACTATCTGTATTTTCAGAGCTGAGAGATGAAGAATTTTCGAATTACCAGCTTGAAGGTAGCAGACACCTGGTTAAATCAATGACGACTGAGCGTGAAGAAGCGCAAACAGGATGAAGACGCACAATCAGGAAGTCCTAAATAATTCAGGAGGGAGGCAGTTTGGTTACGGAGAGACCTCGTCTGGGGTTCCCAGTCCTCATCGCTATGCCTGTCAGGCCACAGACAGATGCGGGGCTCTGGGGGGGGTGGGGGGGTGGCAAAAACACCCCGCCTTCAGGTGCCATCTGCATGGTAAACGATGGGCCGAGGCCGGGCAGGTGGAAGGTCCGGTAAGACCGGGCACAGCATCGACCCCCGAACTGATCGGGACTCGAGAGGCTTTACGCCCCGAACAGGCACATCTGCTGCATTTACTCAGCATCACCGTTGACGTCCCGAGAGTTACCGCGGCGGGCAGGTCATTAAAACAGTCACGCGAGAACGTTTTTTTTTCATTACATATGTGGCTCGGGTGGTGCAGCAGTCCAGGAAAGGTGAACTAGCTCACTCGTGATTGGTTAATGGGAACAGGAGGACCGGATGATGTGGATGTTGAGTAGAGTCATGCTCGCCGTCATGGCTGACAGAG